ACCAATCAAAAGGGTGTCCTAGTCCTGGACATCTCGTGTTCTATTTCGCAGGCTAAAAGTCCAACACGCAAAAGAACGCACACTCCAAAAGCGCATACTGGGAGATTTAAAGGCAAGCCTCAATCTTCTGCTTGGATTGCAGAAGCGTTTGGTCAACAGGGATTGGTGAAAGTCTGCTTGGCTGACTCCCACATTTTGGCCGTCACGTGCGGCGTGCCTTTTTTACAGTTGCGGGGCATCTGGGCCCTCCCACCATAGCGTATTCGACGGCTAGTACACAAATCCTTTTGTAAGACTAACATGGTAGGTAAAGATATGGATAGCACAACCAACAATCATGAACACGTGCCTTGTTGTGAGCGGGGGGGTCTCAAATACCGGCCACCGCGCTGTGATTTTTCAAGATTCATCATGAAACAAAGCGACAACTCTGATGTCAACCGCAGTTGGATTCTGAAAGGTGGGTCCGTTTGCCAGAGCCCCAAACCCAAAGCGGTCCAACCAATTCAACTACATACCCAATGAAGTGCAACCCACAATCAAAAAACGGATGAGACAGCAGAAAGCTCAGCTTTTCATCCAAAGTACTAGTTCATGACTCAACATGTCCCTTTGAGACCGCCATTCACGTTTGCAATCATATATACACACGTATACACACACATATATATATATATATGTATATATATATATATATATTTGTCTCTCTCTCTCTCTCTCTTCCCCGGGCCCAGGGATCCTTTCATTTCCCCGCAGGTCGCCTTGTGCCTCCTGGGCTCGGCTCCGGACGTGGTGGGCGTGAGCTGCGCCGTGGGCGCCTGCGAGAAGGCCAGCGCCTGGCGCGCGGCGCTGCGCCTCTTCCAGCGCCAGGTGGGCCGCAAGCTGCGCCCGGCGCCTCGCGTGGTTTGTTTCGGGGGAGGCCAGGGGAGGCGCCGGTTTTGTGCCCAAGAATGATCCGGGGCTTGGAGGAGGGGCCCGGTTTATTCATATGGCGAAGTTCTTGGTTTTCGTGGGGGTTTATCACTTCTGGAGGGAATACCCCCATATTAAGATACCGGGGGTTATTAATCCGGGGTCAACATGAAGTGCCCGAGAATGATCCGGGGTTTGGAGAAGCGCCGGCAATCATGCAAATGATTGGGGGCGATTTCTGGGAAAATGCCGAGAGAAGCATGTTAGTCTAGCGGCTTGCTGAAAGCGTCATCCCGTTTGTTGTCAGCAAGCGCCCACCGGGAGTTGAGGCATGAGTTTGGGGGAAGCATTTCCGGCGAGTTGGGACCAAGGTCCCTTTCGACAAGATAGTTGGTGGATTGCTGTGTTTTCCAATTTTCTGCAGTGTCCCATGAAAAACATATCAGCTCCTCGCCAGGGTAGAGCCAACCAGGGCCTGCGGCATCCGAGGACGTGATCTGCTTCGGTGCCGCGATCAGTGCCTGCGAGAAAGGCGTCCAATGGCGGTTGGCCATGGATGTCCTCTCCCAGGCAAGCGAAGATCCAAATCCCTGAAGATGAAGCTGGGGAGGGATTGTGCCTGTGGGGTATACTGCATGGCTCCTGAAACTGGAGGACCAACCTTTTCAAGAACCATTTATTAAGAGCCATCTCAAAAGGTATAGAGGGTTATTGAAGGTTCTCCAGTTTTTCAGAATCGCCCTGAATCAGTCGTGGGGCCCGGTGTCCGCACCAAAGGGCCCTCCCCAGCGCCCCCTCAGCGCCCCCTCAGCGAAGCCAGGCGCAGAACGTTGGCTGCGTGAATGGGGTGGTCTTCAACAGCGCGCTGAGCGCCTGCGCCGCTCGGATTTGGATTCGCTCAGGTCGGATCGCATGCGTCCAGCGCCGAACAAATTCGAGGCTGTTCAAACCCCGGCCGGGAGAAAGGTCGGTTTCTTTTGGAAAGAGCGGTGAATGAAACGCATGCGGAAAACATCTAGAGCAAGGGGTGGGGGCTATTTTGCTGTAAACCTGGTGACCTGGCTTTAAGCTGGGACGGGGGGTCCTGGAAGTGGACGGTTTTCTTGAGGTTGTGGCCTGAGCTTGTGGCTCAACGAAGTATTTCTGCAGGTCTCCTTGAACACTTAAACACTGGTATGGGTGTTTCCCAAGAAATGTAAGCCTGCTTTTTTGCGGGTTCCCAAGATCCTCCAAGCCGCCATCGGAAGAGGCAACCCTCACAGGTCCTAGCAGTTGCGAGCACAAGATGTCAACCCCTCTGAGCTGCAGGAAAAAGCCGGGCTGTGGCGTAGATCCCTGAAATTGCTTCCCCTCTTCCAAGAGCACCAGCCCGACACCGTGACCCTGAATGCCGTGCTCAGCGCCTGCGAAAAGAGCTCCCACTGGTTGCAGGCGCTCCGCGGGGTGGTCTTTGCTTGCGATGTGGGGAGTTTCCCGAAGAAGGGGATACCAAAAGGAAGCCAACCAGCAACCAGCTTTAGGGGTCCCCTGTTTATTTTAAGAATCATTCCTTGCGCTCCTTGTGGCACCAGCGTGTCTCGAAGTTTGCTGGCGATGTCAGCGGCTACTGACTCCTTGGGGTGCTGGCTGGGTGAGGGTGTTCCCACAATCAAGATCTGATGAACCCCCGCAAAACTGGTAGTTTTTTACTGCGGGCGGTGAAGGACTAGACATGGGAAACACCCGCTGAACCTTGAGGGACACATTTGTTGGGAACAATTGGACAAACAGAGAAAGAAAGTCCCCAGTGAATTCCTCATTGTGGAAAAACAGAGTTCCCCATATTTCCCGTTTTTCCTTTACACCCTTTGATCCCGTTTGTTTGATTTCCTGTTCGCGTAGGCAAGTTTGGTGTGACCTTTGCTCCCCTTTGGCACTCAAAGCATCGCCGCTTTTTCAGGCGCCCACCTCTTTTTGTGCTTGTTTTTGTTGTTAGTTGTTGGGGATCTGCGTGTGTGTTTTTTTCTCCTTCCTTTCTGCTTTTGGTTTGTAAACAACCACTTCTCCCCTTGTTGTTCTGGGTTTTGGGTTCCAGGCCCTGCACCTCCTGCGGCTCCCGTTCCGCGGCCTCCGCCCGGACGGCGTCTCCCGCAACGCGGCGCTCAGCGCCTGCGGCGCCGCCGCCCGGCGCCTCGGCTCCTCCGCGCCTGGCGCGCGCCTCGGGGGCCGTGGGTGGGAAGCGGCGGAGTTGTCCTGTTTGGAGAGTCGTTGTTTTTTGGTTTGGTGGTTTGGTGGTTTGGATAGCTGGTTTGGATTGGAGGGAAGCTGATTGTGTTTGGTTGAGAAGGGGAATCAGAAAGAAGCCAAACGCAGGGGAGTCTTCTGCGGGGTGCCAACCTTGTCAGGAACACAAAGAGCCACCCTCGGGGCACGGAGAAACAACTCCCGTGATTTGGCTTGGGTCAAGCGTGGCTGTTAGCCTGTTGTTGCCGGTCGTAGTGACGTTTCCGGACACAATTTGGGCCAAGTTTTCGACATGGAGATTCCTTTCGCGCATCACGCACCAGCTTGGCAGAAAATGTGTTCTTGAGCCTAGGTGGGCGCATGCGCTGCAGCACTTCGATGAGCAAGTCCCGGATCTCGTCGCCTGGTCAGCGGCAATCAGCGCTTGTGCCAGAGGGAAGCAGTGGCAGCTGGGTTTGATGCTTCTCCATAGGCTGCGCGCACGCCACTTGACAGCAAGTTTTCGGGTTGGGGTCCAGAAATGCGAGGGTTTGAGGCTATAAGCTAACGGCTCCTTGCTGAGAAATGCGAGGGTTTTATGAGGTTTGCGTAGCTCCGCATGGGGTACGCGAGCGAATATGACTGGATCTGAGGCTTGCCGGTGACGGCGTGGAGCTCAGAGCCATGCTCATTGCGCTGATTCTATGGGGGCGACGTGCCACGTGAAATGTGAGATGAAATCGTTCGACTCTTCCCATGGTTTGCAGATGTACCAGTGGACCTTGCAAGCTGGCACTTGTCTCACAAAGTTTGCTCAGCTTCCGCTGATGTTCTCCGAGGATGTGGTCTACAATTCCGCTCTCGCTTTACTTGAAGGCACAGGGCAATGGCAAGAAGCCCTGGACTTGCTGGGAGCGGCTCAGCGCTTTTGGTATCCCGGTCAAACGGTGACCCCAATTTGGGAGGATGGGGTTTTGGCCATGAACTCGGTTTTCGCCATGAGACCCTTCACGGGGCTTGAGTCTCGAAGAAAAAAAGCAAACAAACAGGGCTTGTGTTTCGGAAAACAAAACAAAAAGTGGTGAGTGCCTGCGCTTGCCTTCCCGCACTTCGAGGCCATGTCTGCGGAGGGATGGGTGCCGAACATCCTCAACTACGGCATTGTGGCAGGCGCCTGTGAGAAGGCTCGGGCACCTGTCCTTTTTTTTTTTTTTTCCCGGGGGGGTTACCACCCGGGTCCAAGTTCTTATTTTCACCAGCCAGACCCAAATGTGTTGTGTTGTTGTTTTTGTTGGTCGAAAATTCGACCCCCCAAGACTCCTTTGGTTTCCCTTTAAACCTCTTTCCCCCCCAAACAAGCAATGATCTTCCCCTCAAATAACGCAAAAAAGCAGCGGCCCCAGTTTTTGTTGGGTCCATCATTTGGAGGGCCCCAAAAGTCGATCTCGATCGAGAGCCTCTTGAGTCTCGGAGGCGCTGCAGGCGAGGCCTTTGGCCGCCCTGCTGCGGGAAGTGGCATCCTGGAGCCGCGTCTCGCGCGCGACAACGGCGGCTGCCAAGAAAGGGAGTGGGTGGGGTGGGTGCGGTTTGAGTGGGGGCGAGTATTTCTTTTCGGGAGATAGGAAGAAAACGCACCGTTTTAGGGATTCCCTCGTTTTCAAAGCGAAGCCAGGGGGTTGGGGATGGCTGCGTCCGTCTCGATGGATGATATCGCCTGTGACAGTTCCGCCAAGCTTTTACGAGATGGCGAACGGAAGTCTGAATTACGTGAGCAGGCAGATACGCTCAATGTCTCAAAGCTGGATTGGACTCGTTGCCTCCGCGCCATTTCCAAAGATTGCCCCCCCCCCCCCGCAAGCCACCCTCGGCCAAGAGAGGATCGCCAGGTCGTTTCCCGTAGCCTTGGCGGGGGCAGCTGGCCTGGCGCTGGGCTTTGCTGTAGCCAGGTGAGTTGCGTTTGGCTTGGCTTTCTCTGGCGGAGCGGAGTGGGTTGAGTCGGATTTGAGGGGTTGCAGGTTGGATTGGGGGCTTGCCAGGCTTTTGCCGCGCAGAGCATCAAGAGGTGCGGCTGCGACATTGCGAGCTCGACCTAACGGAATGTCAACGGCCAATTGAACCTCGCCCACTGTCAGGGTACCCAGCTTAAAGCTGTTGGGCCTGTGCAAACTCACGGTGGTCGAACCGGATTTGGGTCAATTTCAGGACTTCGAGCCGCCTCGCCTTGCTCCACGTCCCTGTCCCTTGCTCCACGGTTTCCCGCAAAGCATCGCCGCCAGGCGAAGGTTCCGAGGCGAGCGATGAGCGTCCAGGACCGAGCGCGCAGACTTGGTTTTGGGGTCGCGTCTTGCGTAGCCTCCCATTCTTGCGTCCGTTGGCCGCAACCAGCCCACCAATTTGCCAATCTTTGCAGCTTTTGGCAGGCGAGTATGCTTTCCAATAGATATGCGACATCCACGATCCTGCAAAACGACTTTCACCAAACCGAGTCAATGGTTCCTGCGTTGCGGGGTCCGGGGTTCGTGTTCGGCGCATGCCCACAGCCTGTTGCAAGTCGTGGATGAACCACACATGCACATTTCCCTGGGCTTTGTCGGAAGTCAGGGTTCCCATTTAAGGTAAGCTTCCGTAGTGATGCTTTCAGGTTGGATGGAGGTTCAGGCAATCTCAGGATCCAAACGGCGCTGGGTCTTCGTGGGTACAGGATACATTGGTCCCTTTCCCTACCCTTTGTCCGCCCCTCTCTCGTGTGTGCCTTGCACGCTAGCGTGATATTCAGCAGCACCAAATTCAGCAATAGATCTCCTAACGCGCTGATCCGCCGAGGAGATATTAAATCCTGGATGAAGATGGCACCTCATTCAGATTTGACCCTAAACTCTAAACCCTGAACCATAAACCCTAAACCCTAAGGCGGATGGTCGGAAAACAGCGTCATCTACCCTCTGGCCGCGCTTTCGCCAGGCGCCGAGCCCTCCTCACCCGGCGCCTCGCCCGCCTCGCCCGGCGCTGCCTCGCCTGCCGGTGGCGCTGCCAAGCGCGAGGTGATCTGCCGGGAGGCGCTCAGCTGGATCCGGGAGCAGGAGACCTTCCCGCCAGGCCACGCCATGGGTGACCTGGGCATCCCCACCCCCTTCAAAATGAAGTTGGGGGAGGGGGGTGACCCCTAGAATTCCATTTAGGGTTCCATTTTCTCTTTTGTGGTTGGAAGACTGAGTAAATGGAATTGTGGGACCCCCCCACCCCTCTCCCCCTTAAGGTAGAGGTGATCCTGGGCAAACAAAAGGTCAGCAAGATATTTTCGAATGACATGAGAGAGTTGCAGAGAATGCAGATGTGATAGCCTAATGGCTGTCTAAGTTGCGGATTGGGCAGCAAGAACAGCTTCAAGAGCGGTGTGTTTTTGGAGGGTAGAACACACACACACATATATATATATATATTGAAGCGTGTTTCTTTCAAGTTCTTCTTTTCCGCAGGGTCGATGGTGTTCACCTCCCTGCCGGACATCTCGGAAGTGGTGGAGTTCGCGCCCCGCTTCTGGACACGTCCTGACGGTAGGGGGACCAGGACCCAGGGGATGCCTCGCTTTGGTTTCCCCAGTAGCCTCAAAGAAGGTTGCCAACTCCACGGTGCTTAATTATATCTTCGAATTCTTCTGAACAGATGGTACAGCTAAAAAAATGACAGCCATCAATGTGTGCTGCATTTTGCCGTTTGTTGGGTTTGACGCCTGTGTCCCGCTCTGCTTGTGGGATCGATTCCTTCCGTCAATTTGCATGGCTCAGATTGACGCCTTCCTCCAAGATTCCTGGCGAACCACTTTTCTGTGAAAGGGGTCTATGGAGTGCCTGATGCGACCCTCTTGGAGGGGTTTCCGCTGGAAGTGCCCTTGACATTTTGACGCCATCTTTCTAACAGCGGCCCTTCTATCAGTTGCCGCAGTGTGTGTGTGTGTGTGGTGTGTGTGTGTGGTTCGTGGGCGGGTGTGGTGGGTGGAACCGCTTGTAGACTGGCCAATAAGGGTTTTGGGCCCAGTTGCTACCAATGACCATGGCAGAAAAAGGCACCTTCTTTGTGTTTTTTTTTGGTTGTTTTTTTTTTTGGGGGGGGGTTGAGAAGATCGTTTTTCCATGACTGGATCTACCAAGTTATGTTGGTGTCCGGAGTCTTCAGGGACCCTTCCAGTTGTTTCCGGATGCTTCTCCTTTGGGTTCAGGAGCTCTTCCAGTTGCTTTTGCACCTTTGAACAACCCCAACCCAAAACCACCAACTCTGGGTTTCCCTTGGGGAAAAAAAAGCAGCAACCTAAGAAGGCCGCCTTCGGCTCCTCGACGGCGCCAAAAACTCGAAGCCAAGGCTTCGAGGACTGGGAGGCGTTCTTCGGCGAGGCGGCGGCGGCGGTCCTGGCGGCGCTGCCCGGAGGGGCGGTGGCGGTGTTCTACCAGACGGACGTGCGGGTGCCGGGACTGGGCCAGGCCAGGGGTTTTGGGGGTTGGGGCGTGGGGGGGAGGTTGTTGGGGGTTGGGGGGAGGGGTTTTAGCATAGAAAAGCCTTGTGAAAATCGCGCGGATTGAGAGTGTTGCGGGGGTGGGCGGGTGGGCGTGGCTGGGTATTGCCAGGATTGAGGGCAATCACTTTGGTGTAGAATTCTGTATGCAGGAGGTTGTAGCATTCCTTTCCCGATCCGCGTGTTCATTTCTTGGAGCGACCGAGTCCTGCGGGTGTCAGACAGCGAGCAATCCCTGTGTTCTTCGCAAGCCAGAGGATTCCCTTTCCAAGAAGACCTATCACACCAGCAGTTCAAAAAGGGGAAACAGTACAAGCGGGGCCTGGTTTTGGGGTCACACGCTCATTTGGCGCTGTTCAAAAGGCAATCTGGTTTTTCTCACCTTTTTTTGTGACACGGCCCGTGATTATCCAGCATTGGGAACATCGGATTGGATTTCCAATCCCCTTGGATGAGAGGTCCCTGCATTAAACCGGATGGTAAGAGGAAACCAAGAGGACAGCCACCTGAAGGGGTTCTCAACTGTTGCGAATCAACCATACTCTTCCATTTGCTCAATAACACTGCTGCTTCTATTTTCCGCTGTTGGCTTTAAAGGGAATCTCTCATTACTGGACCCATGTTTCGTTTTTTTTTGCCAGGGGACCTCTTCGCGAATGGACATGGCCATGCGGCATAACCTATGGCCCCATTTGTGGATGAGCATCCATTTGCCACCGATTTTGATGTTCACCAGGGGTACCAGGGGTTTTGACCCGCCACATCTTCCTTCCGTCGAGTCAAGTTCGAGTCAACTTGACTCGACGCCAGGTGAGCAAAGCCCACCTGGTGCTGTCCGCCGCGCAGAAGGTGCCTTCGGTGCGCCTGAAGTGGCACAAGATCTGCCACTCGGGCAGCTCCCGGCCCACTTGGCGCCTCTGAAGGATTCTTTTCGGAGGCTTTGCCGTGGTTTTGCTTTTGCCATTCCTTTGGTCCAGTTCGAGTTTCTGATTGTTTATTCTTTTTTTAATTAGCGATTCTTGGTGGTTCCTTTGCATTGGCTTGAATGGAAGTTGTTTCTGGTACCGGGGTGTTGAACGGCTAGTTCACACGGGCCAAAGCTTTGCGTGCGCCGAAACGCAGGAACGGTGTCAGTACCAAACTGTTAGCGATCGGCAACCGATTTTTACAACTTCTGACACCTTTCGGCTGGAGACATCATGTGCCTAAATGTCAGCGTTCGGGGAAGAGTGAGACTACAGCTCCCTCAAACCGGGCGGGCTTTCTTTTTGTTTGAATCAGAGTTGTTTGGGAGCTCCCGTGAAGCTTAACAGACACTTACTTCAGGATGGCATTGGAAGGAAACCGCAAGGAAGGCGGCCCATAAAAATTTGAGAGCTCCAACTCTTTTGGCAACCAGTCCTGTTTGTGTTTGGTTGCCTTGAGCAACCAGCCCACCAGGATCTCCAAATCCATTCTAGGATCCCCCCCCCCATAACTTTCCGTTTTGGTCCGTGGATTTGCACATCAATGTTGGAATCTTTGGGGCTTGTTGCTTTTTTGTTCATCTATTGGTTGAGTTTGATCTCTGGCCAGCCAAAGGAATGCCTTGCAGTTCAGCCACCTGCTGTGCTTCGCCAAAGGGAGCGACAGCCAAGCGCGGGTGGGTGTCAAAGGCGCCCCGCTGGATGAGGTCCAGGAGAGGTCTGTGGGATTGGGTACCCTGGAGATCGCATCCTTGGCAATTTTGAATTTTTAGGAGGTTGGAACCTCAAAAGTGGGTGGACTCCTAAATTCCAACCACGGATTTTTGATGTCCATTTCGGGTTCGTACTTAAACCTTCACCTCCGCGAATTTGGAAACAACTCCTCTCTTGCCTTTTGGCGTACCCGGAGTCCAAATTAAAAAAAGATCGGAAGGTGAAGTGCTCTCTGTGACATGGAGCCTGCGGGGTGTGGATGCTTGGTGTTTCGTGACCGAAAGAGCAACAGCAACATGCCAAGTCATAGAATATTTGTTATGACTGCCCGCAAAACGGGCTACAGGGATTAAGATGTCTTCATTTTAGCTAGTGCAAGATATAGCTGGTTTCTCATCAGCGTTGGCCATGTCGCTTTCTGCGGACCAGCCACATTTTTGTCCAAGGAAACCTTTTGGGAACCTAGCGAATGTCCCACCACAGTGTCACATATTGCGTTTTTGGCAAAGGCCCAGTCGGGTACTTGCAAACCAATGCCAAATTGCCAATTGTTCAAAAAGCGAGCCTTTTCGTGGACTTTTGTGCAGCCGAGAGGTCCAACCACTCCTTGGGCGGTGTCTGCATACCTTTCTCGTTGGGCGGGAGGCATTTTGTTGTTGTTGGGACCTTGGTGTTGGTAAGATTTCTTAGACCCCTTCTGGGAGGGCTTGAGCCGGAATTGGTGTAAATTGGGAGGCTCGGGCCGCAGCCATCTTGGTTTTCAGGTTTAATTTCAAGGGTAAACCTAGAAATGCCCGAAAGGATGGTCGAGGTCAATCCCAATTTCGCTACCTATGGAACCAGCAAATGGGTGTCCATTTCTTTAAATAGTTGGTCGCTTACCTTTGGTTTCGCTTTGGATACCAACCAGGGTCCGAAATCCATGTTGAGAAACACCCAATCTGCTCAATAGGTGGACCCGTATGTTTCAAGACACGAAAAGGACGCTCCAAGCCTTTTAGGACATGAACCACCATTTCAAGCAACCCACAGGACCGCGTGACCGGGTGTAGTATGATTCTAGGGGTACCTTCCCCCATTCTTTCCAGGGATCCGGATCTTTTCATCTTTTCAGGACATCAACAACTCATGGAAACAGATCCGGCCGGTTTCTGAAGAGGCCGGGAGAGCATGGAGAAGAGGACTCCACCCTGATGATTCCAGAAGCTCCCAGAAGCTCGAAGCCAAAGCTCTGGAAACCGAAGGACCTGGGCTCCACCATCCCGGACGTCTTGGAGCGGGGGCCGAAGCCCGCGGGTCTCCGAAAGGGCGCCTGCTGTGGGGAGCCCCGGAAATTCGAGCGAGGCGTGGGTTGAGTGAGGGGTAGACACCATGGGTTTTGTTTTGAGGTGAGTGGTGGTTTTGAGGGGGATGGTGGTTTTGAGGCTTATCAGAAGCGGCGTTTTTCGTTTGTTTTGAGGGTGGACTTTTCTTTTCGGGTGGATTTTGGAGGGTGGTTCCTTACAAGGGCTTGATGAGAATCACAATCAGAGCAGACCCAGGCTTGTCTCAGAACAGAGATCCCCCAGAAGAATGGGGTGGCAGTGGGGTGGTTTCCCTTTGATCTCCCTTGACATAGTCCCAGGCAGACTAACATGGAACCGCTACAAGCATCATTTTAAGAGGACCTCCACAAGGACCCCGTTTTGGGTTCCAATTTCCGGCGCAGCGCGTCGTGTTGAGTTTCCCGGACTTGGCCAAGGCATGGGCAGCAACGCCACCGCCGAAGTGATCAAGTGGGCGAAGCGGCGTCTGCCAGGCCGTGAAACGGCTTCGGTTAGCTCCAAAGGCCACTAGCGGTTTTAGGCTCATTGGCGGGGTGCTTGTTTGTTGCGGGACCCCTGGAATCAAGGTTGAAAAGCCCGTCCTCAGAATGGCTGTGGCTTGCGTTTTTTTCAAGTCTCGCCCGCAAAGGGGTGTCTCCATGGAAGATGATCAAACCAATTGAGTAGCAGCCGATCCTGCCCTTTCGCTGTTTTTGGGGTAGAACAAGGGTTCTTTTGGTAGAATTCAATGCCAATACTGTCATTGAATATCTACATTTCCAGGCTCATTTGTCAAGTGTATATTCGAGAGCGTTTGAAGGGCAACATAGTTTTTGCAAATGGGGGTGACCCGGGCTTGCCTTTCAGAAATGAGGGTTGAGGCGTGTCTGCTGCTTGCCCAACATAACGGTTACCCCCTGATATGTTGTTCAGCTGGATTTTTATTGTCCTTAAGTTCAACGGCCATGCTTGCCGATTGCCCGCTTGGTGATGCGAATTTAGTTCCAATTTGGTGTTCAGCTGTTTCTATGCCTTTTTCCTTGGACATAAGGAATTGTAGCTAATGACGGCAAATGGATGGGTGGACGAGGGGTGGTTTGGATTTGTTTCTAGAGTCAGTTGGCCGCCCCCTCCAAACCACCAACCCACACACCCAAAAAAAGGCTCGGGCCACCAAAAGGGCCTTAAGCTGCGGAGGGTCTTTGGGGGCAGGACTTCGACTTAGATCAGGCAGGCAATTTTAACTTTTTGACGGACGAGTTCACCCGCCCCTTGATTTATTTATTATCGGTTGGTGTTCCTCCAAGAGTGCATCTGGCTTTTGGGTGCCTTCAAATGTTTCCACCACCCAAAAGTGAATCCTTCAATTCCTCCAAAAGTCATTTCCAGAATGAACTCACGAAATTCGGGCAGTTTCAGGGGGCTGAGCCCCGGATCAACCCTCCACGGGCTCTTCCGGGGCTCAAACTGTGAGGCCTCCGCGTGGTCATCGACCCCTTCTGCGGCGCTGGCACGGTGCTTGCGGTGGCCAACGAGCCCGGGCCTGAGGGCCGAGTGGGCCGAGTGGCAAGTGGGGCGGTGGCCTACCCGGCTCGTCTTTTGGAGTTGGGCACCCCTTGGTTGGTTAAAAGGGAAGTCAGAAGCGGAAAAGATCAAGCGCCCGGTCTTGGCGGTCCAACCTTAAGAGGTATGAGCCACCCAAATAGGTCTCGTTGATTCACCAAAGTGGGTTTGGGGAATGAAACGCTTGGTATCCCCTTGGAGAACCACCAGTTGCTTTTGTTCAGTTCGGGACACTCCCTGAGAAACTTGGAGATGTCAAAATGGGCAGACCCCAAAATTCAAATCCAAGCTGACAGGTACCATCGCTTCTTGCCTGAGATGCTTGGGCGGTATGATGTTATGCGGGTGGGTGGAAAGGATGGCATCAACAAGTATGCGAAAGACTCCTGCACGTGTCAAAACCAGGAACCCCTTTGCAGGGTTGATCATGTTCGCTGGTTTCAAAGACTTGTCCAGAAGGCTCCTCAGCTGTCATGGGACGCACTTTCGCGAGGTTTGGGCTGGATGCCGTTGGCAGGGCTCTCAGTGAAGAAGCTACAAGATATCCCTCCCAGCAGCAGGTCCCTTCAAGAGGAAATCGATCTTAGCACCCTCCAAGTGCTATGTCAGGAGGAAGAGTGCAGCTGTCAATGAGTCGCTTTTGCGGGTGAACTGCCGTGTCAACTCCGGATTTCACCCAGACCACGTTCAGCAGGAATCCCCCGAAGAATCAGTGAGTGACTCACTAGACGGGGGAGAACCCGGTGTTTGGGTATTTTTGCAGCATGACTTGGACACCCAGACGGTGGTTGGTATATTTTGGGTTTGCCTCTGGCCATGAATCCAAGCAGGTTACCCATTTCGAGACGGGCCTCTTTGCTCGTTCTTGTAAGGCGTCGACATTTCGCCCAAGCGCATCAAGCAGGCGGATCTTCGTGTGGGACGTTTGGGGACATCAACTCCTGGTTCTGTTTCCGGAGTATGGTGACCTAGGCCGAGGGTTTGAGTCGTTTATTGGATTGCATGAAGCACTGGGTGTGCGGTGGGATTTGGACCTGCTCCTTTGCCTCAACCACGTCGGAGCCCAGGACTTGTAGACCCCCAGTCCATTGAGCGGAGTGTTTGTGTAGCGATACCCAGACTTCCGGCAATTTTTTTCGAGAGGCTGGAGGCCCTCGCGCGCAGCTTTTCAAGCATCAAGCCATGAGTCCCAAGATCAGCCAGAATGCCGTTCAGAATGGCCCCGTGGAAAATCAAGAATCACTTTGTGAGTCCATGTATTTGGATTTCCCCAAAGAATCCTAGAGTTGATACTAAAGCAGATGGCAACAGTGGTCTAGATGCTTAAACATGTGACTCGCACGGGCCGGGTATCTCAGGTTTCTCATCGATTCATTAGCCTCCAAAAGGACGCTTCTTTGCCACGTGATGTTCCAAATCAGGGAGAGAGACAATGTCAGGTTACAACAGGACCTGTATTGCCACAAGTTTTCAAGTTCCTTTTAGTTTCCCTTTAAAAGATCTGTTTCCCATTTCAGCAGTGGGTCGTTGGTTTCCTTTGGGTGCCCTTGAACACTTTCGCTACCATACAAACGGGGGCCAATCATTTTGAAAAACCCCCCCGCCCCAACCTCGGGGCGTTTGCCAGGCGCGACAGCTCCAAGGTGCGCCGCTGCTTGCCTCCTGGCAGCCGTTTTGGCCGATGCCCGAAACGTTGGCTTTGTGGTTGGGTATGGTTAGTTTGCGTCATTTTCATGGTTTTGTGGTTGAGTATGGTTGGTTTACCGTATTTTTTCATGGTTTTGGGGTTGAGCATGGTTGGTTTGCCGTAAAATCCCATGGTTTTGTGGTTGAGTATGGTTGGTTTACCGTACAATCGCATGGTGTTGTGGTTGAGTATGGTTGGTTTGCAGGATTCTGTCCTGGTTTTGTGGTTGAGTATGGTTGAGTATGGTTGGTTTGCCGGCATGTTTCATGCTTTTGTAGGTGAGTATGTCGGTTTGTCGCAAAGTCCCATGGTTTTGTGGTTGAGTATGGTTAGTTACTTGCCATAATTTGTTGCATCCGCATGTCGATTTAGGTCCCTGGTTCCAGGCTAGTGAGAGAGCAGGCTAAAAGCTTCCTTTCGTGGCTTCCCACTAGAATCGAAATGCAGCCAAACCAACAACACCAATCATCATTTTGTAATTCAAACCAAAGACATTTCTACAGTGTTTGTGATTTTGAGCGCTTTTCGTTTCGCCTGGTCCTTCAAACAAAAGGAGGTCGAATTCCAGCCTCTCAAACTTGGGCACTTCTGGTTTTCGTGTGGCTGGAACCATGACCCCTTCAAACTGGTGGTTTCCTTTTGGTGCTGCTTTAAAGCCACAACGACAACGGGGTACCTAACTCGCCAGTGTACTTTGCCCGGAGCCGTTCGGCGCATCGATTCGAGCCCCAGGCCCGTGAGAAGCCTTGAGCGCCGCGTGTCGCGGGCGAGAAAAATGGTGCGAGACCGCCTAAGGCTGGCCGCCTCAGGCTCGTTTTTTGGGGATATTTTTGAAATCTCAGGGTTGTGGGATCAAGGGGTTAATTACAAGGGATCAGGGTTGTGTTGTACAAGTGTTTCTTGTTTTTTAAACTTCATCACTTCTGTGATACGAGGAAATATCCCCCATGAATGGGTAAGTTGGGACGCCATGGAAGTCCTTTTCGTATCACAGAAGCGGATTCCAGTTCCCGGCAGCCCCTGCTTGAAATCCACCTCCCAAGCTTCCGAGCCTTGGCGCGGAAGGGAAGGAACCATCCAGAAGTGTTTTTTTTTTTCCCGGGCGGGGGGGGGGGGGGGGACGATTTTTTTTTCCCAGGGGGGGGGACGGTGGTTTTCCTTGTGGCTTCCCTTCAAAACCACCAACAAAAAGGGGTACCCGCAACGCGGGCACACCTAAAAACGTACGATTCTGGGCATCTGAGTTGTGAGAGTGCGCCGCAGGGCCGGCCTGCACCCGCTGTACTCGGGGCAGTCGATGCTGACATTCGAGGGCGAGCAGTTCCAAGGCCCACAGCTTGAGCCATGGCGGAAGTCTGGTTTTTTGGAGAGCTCCCTTTTCAGGTAGGTTCAAAGGGAAAACCACCCAAACTCAAAATGGGTGATTCCCCCCTTCTTGACATGTCCAGGTCTTCAAGTGGTTCGATCTTCTAGCAGGCCACCAGGTATGTACTCCAATAGCTAGCCGATTCGTTGGTTTGTTGCTCCGTAAGCACCCCGCAACACCTGATGCCAAGACCTTCGTGAACATGACAAGACGGGCTAGGAAAACACGGGGTTTGCGTTCGGTGCATGAGGCTCATGATCGTTGAGGTCTGGACAGCACGTTCAGATCCACGCAAGTTGTCCTCAGCCCCAAAGTCAAGGGATCACAGAGCACCGTGAAATCTTCGATGCCCCTTGAATCATGTTGATTCATTCCGGCATTATTCCAATTCATGTCTTTTGGTCTGATCACCTTGGACCACACTCTTGCTGGAGGGTGGAGGGGGGGAAGGAACACCAAACGCATCCCACCGGCCCACAGACGCGGGGTAGCTTCGGCGGAGATTCCCCGCGCTTCCCCGCGATCCCGGCCAGGTGCGGACTCGATCGTGCAGAAGATCATGAGCTTGCCCTTCACGAAGGCTTCGGACCTTGGAGCGGTTGGCTTTTGATTTTTCGGTTCAAAGGAGAAACACTTCTCCAAGGGGGCACTTTTTGGGATAGGCTGCAAGTTTGGCAGAGGTGATTCCTTGTTGTACCTTTGATTTGGGAAGGACGCAGGGGATTGGCCTCCAAGTTGCCAGAAGCAAGGCAGGTTTGGGGCAAAGGAGAAGTCTGGTGCCGCTAGATCATCTCGAGCCGGGCAAGCGAGGTGCAACACCAGATCGTGAAGTGTGACTGTCAGCCCACCCCCAATGATGGCAGATGCCTCAGATGCGATTCCCAGTCTGGTACCGAGATCGGCTGATAGCATTTGGAGTGCCATTGGGGCGATGGAAGGGTCAAGAGTATTGCAAGGATCCTGATGGGAACCAGAGCTTTGGTCCATGGCTCAAGTTTGGGAGAACATGCCAGTTGCTCGGAAGACCGCCAAGGTTCTGCGCGTAGGAAAAGTCGCTGCAACACGCAGCGGAGTTTGATAGGCCTTTCGGCAATTTGCTTGGGACAGGCCCGGTCTGTGTGCTGAGGTCATGTTAGCGGGGTGTGGTTGGAGTTCCATTTTGCCTCACTTTCAGGAAGGAAACATATTTTACATTGTATCGAAGGGGTGGATTATCCCCACCTGCCCCTGTACCAAACTCCTTCCCTCCGTAAGGCGTGGTGATTTTCGTCACCGGGAACCTGCTAGTGGATGACAACGCCAATCCGCTGAAGTTGCGGGCTCAGGGCTTGGCAGCCGCATCCCTGGTGCGTTGCGCGGCCCAACGTCGATGGAGTTAGGGCCATTTGGGTGTGGCTCAAAATTAAACAGGAGGGGCAGACCGCAGGTTTTGGTCCATGTTTCCACTTACCAGGGTTCCTTTTTGGAATTCCGGTTTTTTGAGCCACAGCCACTTCTCAAGGATGCTTGCTCTTGAGAGCTAAACCCGCGGCAGCCTCTGCCATTCCCTGGCAGCCTCTGCCATCGGTCCTCTTTTGCAGATGATGTTAGCTTCGACCTGACGGAGGCGACTTGCTGTCCGCTTGGAAAAACGCGGCTTTTGACCCTAAGCGGGTCCACGTGGAAATGGGGCTTTTGTTTACAAGGAGCATCAACCCATGAGTCCGCGTCCGCTTCAAGAAGGTGTGTGGGTAATCCAAAGATCCGTGTGAAGGGGGGCGACGCAATATACGCATTGTCATGTACTGTAAGGGGGTGACACGGGTCACACACTCCAAAGCATTGAATGGAACACACCTCTCCCTGAACAAGGGGGGCTGCTCACCGAAATTCCGCTGCGGTCAGTGCAATTGATGGCGTGATATTTTGTTTTGTGTTTTGAACATTTTGTTGTCGAAAATTCGGCCAAGTCCATTCTGCCTTTACGTCCGCAGTCTGGCTGGGATGGTAGAGGTGGGGTCTCCTTATTTTACGCACAGCCGACAATTGGCTCACTGAGTCTCAACCAGCAGAAGTGCCCCTCCGCCAAGTCGCCTGATGGGGTAATTAAGGATGAAGCTTTGCAAATCGAAGGGTGGGTGTTGCTTTGGTTTGACTTGCGTCAACATCCTGATGTTGTTTTAGGAGACCCCACAGACCCCATGATTTGCCCAGTTGGGTTGCTTTGCTTTGTCTGGAAGATCCGTACTGCACCGAGGTTTGCTCAAATATTCCAGCTCCTGAAGGGGCCGACTGGGTGGCGCTGGCGTGGTTTGGCAGAGAAAGACCTCGCTGGCTCGCTGGCTTTGCTGGTTTTGTCCGAGCACGCAGCGACAATTGCGTGACTTTTTCCTCAAATGAGCCACAATCAAAACCCGGGTAGATGAAGGTTGCTAGCAGCAATCCCAGCCACGAATAGGTGCTGCCGCCTTTTCAATTCTTTACATGGTTCTGTGTAGATCGTGTCAATGCCTGATTTTGATTCTGACTCAAACGGATGGAAGGCTCCGTAGTCTTAGCATCGAGACATATGTGTCACAAGTTGGCGGACCCCCTAAATTGCCGTTTTCCTTTTGGTGTCCCTGCAAAACCACCCAAAACGGGTACCCTGAAAAAACACGGAAGTTGGTTCTCCTGCTGTTTTTGTCTCTAGACCACCTTTTGTCCGAGCGCCATGTAGACGGGCTGTTTGGCAGGAACTACTACTGCCACAACGACATGTTCCGGCTGAACATCGGCTGAGGGGCGTGATTGACGCCTCGGCGCGGGGAGTTAAGGATGTTAAGGAACGTGGGGGACGTCCAAATCTGATAGTGCCCGGGCTGGTGATGGACGCATCCTGTGGCATGTGCATAGGTCAAGAGACTCCAATCTCCCGTATGTCGTCTGCGCAAAGGTCGTGAAAAGGCGCGCCAGTCTTGAGGACGTGTACTTGCAAGCGACTGCCAGATGGCACAGCTTGGCTTTCCATGTGTTCGAGCGGACTTGTTTTGTTGCTCGGTCCGTTCTTCGATTCCTCTATTTTCCACTTCTATTTTCTTCAATTTCGCCATAGTCTCCGATATCCCCGAGATATTCATAGGCACATTGACTTTCTTCAAGCTTTCCCATACCGATCACAGACCATGCCATGCATTCTTAAGTGCTTTAGCAACCCAGCTTTGCCTACTTGCACATGGGTGCATACCCGTTTGTCGGGGTTTTATACCAAATCCTAAAAAAGACATACTCACATACCCCAACCCCCCCAAACCCTCCCCGGTCCGCCGCAACCTGCCCAACCTCTCAGCCTCCCGTCTCAGTGCCAGCCCAGCCCTGCGCATCGGCTCAGCGCCCACTTGCCACTGGTTTGCCGTGGCCAAAAATGCCCAGCCCTCGGACCTTGGCCTCGGACGCTTCGTGAGCCCGAAAAGAAGTTCGAGTTTTCTCCAGTTTGGTAGATGTTCGTTGGGTTATATCTTGACTTGCAAGAGCTTTTACAAGCTACATGTATACATGTGTGTATACAAATGTATATATATATACACATACATACACATGATATGCAGGTACATTAGACATTGTATACGTGGGCATGCATCAAATGGGGGGGGGGGCTTTTTTTTGCGAATGCTTGAGGGTGACAGCTAACCCGGGCACGGGTGCAGCATATTTTTGCGTGCTTGTTGGTTTTTGAACTTTCAACTGAGACTGCCCACTTGCAACATGTGCATCATGGTCAAAACATTTGGGTTCTCAGCTCCTGTTCTGGGCGATTAATGCAACGCGAACCAGCGCCTATACAACGAGATTGACAGTGGAGCAGCATGCACGGAGCCGAGACATCCGACTCTTGCCTGTAAAATGAGCGACATGGATAAATCGGGATTTGATGGCAACCACTACACTGAACGGCCTGACGTAAGAAAGTAGCGGATGATACCGTTCAGGGGGTGCATGCCAATTCATTCAGCATTTTGTATGCCAGAGTTCCATTTGTTGGCTCGTATGTTTAGAATTCTGGTTGGGAGCCCTTTGACGGACATCCTTAGGGATTGATGCCCACCAACCATTTTGGAGGCTGTCGAGCATCATGCCACTTGGGCAACCTGCCTGGTCACCTTCTGAGTACCCACCCCTTAGGTTCAAGGCCGCGTGCGTTTGCGCCAAACGCCTCGGCATGCGGCCATCGGCCCTTTCGAGGCTTTCAGTTTGGGGGTGACCTGGAGGAGATGCAGGTACCGGCCTTTGCGAGGGGGGTTTGGGTCTCATGGGTGTGCCTTTGAGTGCAAGGACACGTACTGGGGTTCTTTAAGGAACGCCAAGCATGCATGGGTTTCGTCTCATGGGAGAAGTCCCAAAATGGGTGCTTTCTACTTCCATTTTCCTGTGTAGCCTCACAACGGTCACCCACATCAACAGACAACCCAAACAAAGTAACAGTTCCCCTTTGGTTTCGATCTGGTTTCCCTTCCCAGCAACCTCAAAAAGGTCACCCCTTCCAGCCTTCGGCTTGTCCCTGGTTCTCGCCCAAGTCGAGAAACTGGCGACGGGCCGCGGGAGCGAATCCGTCTGGGAGTGTGCTGGGACTTGGATGGGTAGCAAAAAAATGAATCGGACACCTTTGCTTTGCCAAGGTCCCAAATCCTAAGCACTCACGTCTTGCAAACAGGGTCAAAAGAACGGGGCGAGGGCGCGATTCTGCCTGGTTGACTAGGAGAGTATGGTGCGGTTTCTGTAAACCTTCATGGCTATCTGAGTATCTCAAAACCAATGGGTTTTGGGCACCCAAGAGCTCTGGTCCTTGCAGGAGGCTAGGATTCGCGTTTGCCAACAAGCTGCAAGCTTTCAACAGAGGCAGACATCTATTCAACTCACCGAGTGTTTCGTACTTATGTTGAGGGCTTTTCCCAATACGGTTTGGTTTGCCTTTGCTTCACAGCCAGCCTCACAAAGTTTGGCTTCAGGCTTCAATCTTTGGATGCTTCACAGCCACTTCACAAGAGGTCATGCGCAATCGTCGCAAGGATCGCCTTGGATGCAGAGAAAAGCCAGGCAGAATCAAGTGTTGTCTGCGGGCTTTCCCCCCAAGCCGGAGTGAGGCCGATTGCAGGCGCGAAGTTCAATCTGAGTCGACATCCGCCCGAGGCACAGACTCTGCCAGCCACTGCCCCCGTAGCTGCTGGGAAGGCCGACCGCCGATCGCCGATCGAGTGGCGAAGCAAGGATGTCACCGTTGCCGGCAAACACAAGAGGCTTTAGGCAGCCTAAGGGAGCCATGACGCACACAAGGAGTTGTTTTCACAGCTCTTCTATGGAGTTTAGACGATCCCTGGAGAAAAACGGCCTTCCAAAGGCCTTCCTTCAGTCAGCTTGGACCCTTGGCTTCCGAGGGTAAAGGGCGGGCTTCCAAGTGGTTTTTTATGGACAAAACCCGAAAGCCGGTGGGTCAAGTTTGGGAGAAGCCTCCCATGGGGCTTGCTGCGTTTTGAAGGACACGGACCTGGGCTGTGGGTAGCAAACTGTGGGGTCTCGCCAGCCCACAGATGCCCTCAGTGCTGCCGCAACTGTGGGGTCTCGCCAGCCCACAGATGCCCTCAGTGCGGGCGCGATGTTGGGCATCATGTTTGGTCAGCCGACAATCACCGCATTGATTGTCAGGTTCTTTTTTTCCGAGTTTGCCAACGCAAAATGATGTCACTCGGGCGTTTGTTTGGACTCTGGGCTACCGGGGTTTTCTAAGGTCGTGTTCTATTCGGAGAACGTATGTTTCGCCATCACAGCCAGGCTGGCTTGCAAGCCAATGTAAAGCCGCGGCCCTGGGGTGTTCACTGCTTCCCCTCGGATACATCGCAGCGATCCTTCGGATCCGCAGAAAGGTTCCAGCCCAAAGAAACCCTCGGGAGATCTGGGGCCTGGATTAGCAGATTCCCGCAGCCCCAAGACACCCTCAGGCGGATTCCCGCAGTTTCGCAGAAGTCGAGAAATTTCCACTCACCCTCGGATCAAAGCAGCCCTCAGCAAAAAAACGGGCGAGACCTGGATGAGTCGCTGACTAGGGGGCTCAGCCTGGGCATTCCGACTCCGAAGCTGTTGGGCTGTCTGAGGCTCGAGGCCTTCAAGAAGTCCATCGAGAGCCACAAAGACCGAGGCTCAGGGGAATCGAGGAATCCCAGAGGCGAGGTTTCCGGCGCTAAGGGGAGAGGGGGGATGTCTTCCCATCTCAAAATCCATTGGTTTTAAAACAGCTTTTGGCTGCCACTGCAAAGTTTCCTTTTGGGTGTTGTTTCCAGGTTGGACACAGGTCGGAAAGCGAGATCGCAACCGATGACATGGCGTTGATTTCGATGCCTGAGGACAAGCGATTCAACAACTACCGGGACTGGCGAGCTTGGACGTTTGTGGCAGTCTGGCGGTCCACCCTCTGATTCTAATTCGCAGATGTTCTGGTTGCATTTGCCTCACGACGTAAGAAGCCCATGACTTGGCCCGGAAGTGTCTTGCACAGGATGGCGAGGCTTTGGGTTAGCAGGTGACGAGTTTTTGTTCAGATGCTGCATGTGTTTCTTGGCTTCGACGCTTGGCAACGTGTGTGGTCTGGTTTCCTGGCAGGTTGACAAAATGGTGACCCTTCGGGGCGACCAAAATTGCTGAGAAACCGACAAGTACACTAACACCAATTGTCAGGTTCCAGGTGAATTGGTGGGAGGGTAGCTCCCACCAGGCTGCCGTGCAAGCCCTTTCGTTCCCTTGCCAGGAGCGGTGGTCGGAGTCGCAGAAGTTGAGCGACCAGCTGCGATCTCAGGAGACCGGACACCCGTCGCTTGGTGCGAGTCGGAGATGCCAAATGGAACGAAGAAACCAACGCGTTCCGTGTAGGATGCCCTAGAGGAGGGAAACAGCGAAGAAGGACTCAAAGGCAACAAAAACGCAGTTGTTTTGTTGTTCGTGCCGCAAAAATGCTTCTTCTTTTTTGAGGTTTCCTATCTGGAGCGGCCATTTTCTTCTCAAGGTGTTGGCCTAATACAGTGCAGGTTGATGTGTGGTGACCCTGGACTTGTGGTTTGGGGCCCGTGTCACTGTTTCACCAGGCCTGGCACCTGTGTCACTCTTTGTTTTGTTGGGTGTCCTTTGGTTTCAAAGGGAAGTGGAAGGGAAAGCCACTTGTGGGGCTCTCTCATTTGACAGGCCTGCAAGTTTTCTTCCAGATTGCTTGCTTCTTTTGAGGGCCATGAGAGGAAGGATCCATTTCCCCCATTTTGGTGATACCCAATCAGGGGGGCTTCGTTGTCAGGAAGCCCGGCTTGGGAGTGATCGCAGGACATTCCGGAGGAGCAGAAGGAAGTCATCAAGAAGAACTATGCGGCTCAGCAGGCCGGCGCCGACCTTGTCCCAGATTCTGGGACACCCACCCTTGCAGGGCTTCAGTTTGGGAATCTCCATGAGGGTGTTGTCAGGTGCCAGCGGCGTGCTTGGGTGGTTGTTGTGCATGTGCATGCCGCGAAGCTTGTCCGTCGGGAAATTGCGACATCGTGCCCCCCCACGTGGCACAAATGCACTCGCTCCGCTGTTTGAAGGAGAGCTGAAAGGGCAGTTCCCAAGGGGCATGTCATCATCTCCTTCAGAGGCTTGCGCAAAGGTCAAGGCGAGGCGCAAGGTGATATGGCTGGCACTTGTCAACTTTACTCCCCTCAACTCCCCGCAGCGAAGGGAACCTGTTTGGTGGGAATCGGCAGGCTGGTTCTCAGCTACCTTTTCGTGCGTGAGGATGCATACTGGAGAGACAGCCGCAAAGAGATCACCATCAGCGATTTTGAGCTCCTCAAGGCCTAGCTGCTTTGAGAATGCGGAATTCGTCGAGCGGTTCGAGCGGCGTGTGAACCTGTTTGCCTGCCTGTTGAAGTATATGTCTTTTTGAGGGTCCTGTTTCGTGGTTTCAAAGCGAAGCCAAAAGGATAGCCGCCATTTTTGGGGGTTCCCTACCAATTGTGAAACAACTCCCCCGTTTTGAGGGGGGGGGGCGGGGTCTGGTCAATGGATTTTGCTTCCGCACATGGAACTCACAAAAGAATTGCCACAGGAGGGTCCAAGCCAGGAGCCCTCTGCGAGCTTCCACGCATAGGAGGGTATCCGTTTTGGGAAGGGTAAATATAACAAGGCATGGGTAGACTGCGACTTCTCGAGTTTGATGAGAGGCAACACACTGGGGAAACTTCACTTGTTTTTGTGGGGGGGGGGGCCGGTGGAAGCATATTGGGAACATATCTTATATATATATATATATATGTGTTTGGGAATATTGTCCTTTGTCGCGGACGTGTTTTCCAGGCGCAGTCCGGGCGGGTGGGGTTCCCACAGTTTTGAGCCACGCCCAGGGCCTCCGACCGGAATTCCCGTTTGTGGCACCCGAGGTGATCGGGACCGGCGCCTTCGGGATCGTTCGGCTATGCCGGCACAAGGCTTCCTTGGTGGGGTTTGGGCGGTTTCCGCCGTGCAGCTGCCTGCGATCGATCTGCGGCCTTTTGGTGGAGATTTTTTTTGCGGGGACACGTCCCACCTGGGGACACCTCCCACTTGTGACTCAGGGTGCTTCAGACAGACATGTGTCCATAGCCGCAAGCTCTGCTTTTGCCAGGGCACCGGAGAGATTCGTGCCATGAAGCAAATGAGCAAAAAGGAGATGGTCTACAAGAACCAGGCCGGAAGTATGAAAGCGTCCCCTAGAAGCGATCTCTTTGCTTGGCTCAAGGGGTCGGGTTCTCCGTTGTTAGCCCTCACACCAGAACGCAACGGAATCCCCTGTTTCGCATTTTTTCTGTGAAGAGATTCTGGCGATTTGATAGTGCAGCCGACGGAAGGAAACCATGTAGCTCCCGACGCAGGTTCAGCACGTCAACGCTGAGAAGGATGCGCTGAGCGTGGCAAAGGACCTGCACGAGCTGCCTTTGTTTGCGCAGAGGCAATTGTCAGGAAACGGTTTGGATTGGTGGTTCGGATTTGGATTTGACTCCCTGGTACTCTTGAACAAGTATTTCCGCACCAATCAGAGCTTCGGAAGCTGACCCTATGGCAAGGATGATTGGGTCATTGGCCTACACTACACCTTCCAAGATGACACCTACCTCTACATGGTCATGGAGTGCGACACCCGAGCGTTTTGGGAAAACAATTGGGGATGCCGGGGAGGCCCTGAACTCTGCATCTGTCATGGGTCGATGTTTCTTTTCCTTTTTTGGTGCGTGTCACAGAAGAAGTTGGAGCTTTTCAGATGCGAGCACGCGTTGTTGCTTTTGTCGAATCATGTCGGAATCGGGGCATCCATGTCAACCAAAACCATTGCCGGAATCCTGTACAAACCCTGGTTCTTATCGAGGATAAATGTGAACCCCTCCGTTGCACCACCCCCCAGCTCCAAACCACCGAGCAACGAGGGAAGCTGAGCTTCCACGGGGTCCAATTCGTTTCTCTCAGCGGCCCGCAGTTACTTGCCTGGCGGCGATCTCATGACGCACCTCATGCGGAAGGACGGGTCGGAGATCGGTTTGTGGCCGAACTTTTGGGTTGGTCCAGTAAAGTGCACATGGAGTGGTACTCAAAAAGTCGTTTTTGTGGGGGTGGATTCTCTTTGAGCCACAATTTAGAGGATGGTTTTGAGGATTCCACTTCATGGACCCAGTGTTTGGGGATGTTCAAGGCAAAGGTCAGGAACATATGCGCTAGTTAGACTTAAAACATGTTTCCTCTTGGGTCCTTGTGAATATGTCGGAATCGTTACTTGGGATGTTGAAGGCGTGATCTAGTCCAAATGACGCGCCAGTTTGTTCTGAGCTCATTCCACAGCAAAGCACCACTGCGCCGGGCTGAAGCCAAGTCTTTGGATATGTTGCAACTCAACAGAGTATTGCAGCTGACTGCTGAGATCCGAAAATGCACCTGTACCAAGCTCACTTCGAGGGGCAGGAACACAGGTTGGAGGGGACCAAGATAATTTAATTCCATATCACTGCCAGTCCTATCACTGCCCAGTGATCTGGTTGCCTCTGGCGGGAACTTGCCACCAAGGTGTTTGAACGCTGTGCAAAAGAGGTGTGTCAAAATAGGGGGGACCCCCAAAATTCTGCCATTGAGAGCCAGGAGTCGATTCTGGAAGGTTTTGGAATAACGCGCCTTCCGGCCGTACCGTGAGGGTCACACCCTAAAACGTTTTCGCCCTCAGGAAACCCCCAAAAGCGGGCACCGTGCGCACAGCCATAGGTGTCCTTTTGAGGTTCGTTCGGTTAAACATAGATGGGTTCCACCGGTTTGGACGGGTTTCATGCCCCATTGGCCAGGGAAACCCATCGATTCTTCCCAAAGGAACTTGGCAAAGGCAACCCTCGACTTTTGGCGCCGTGGCGCGCCTGTGAAAGGGGCGCCCGCCGCGCTTTGCGCGTGAATGATCGCAGGACACCTTCACGGAGGAGGAGACGCGGTTCTACATTGCGGAGCTGGTTGAGGCTGGAACGGGCGAGTGGAATTTGGCGGCTTCGGCGAAACGACTCGGCGAGGGGAGTTGAGACTCGTTTGCGAGTGCTCAGTGCTTGGTTTTTTGTCCTTTACTGTCCTTCTAGAATTGGGGTGGGGCTTTAGGCGGAAGCCAACTTGAGTTTTGGTCCAAGACCAACAGCTCTCAAGGGGGAAGGGCATTGAGGCGGCGTCGAGTGTGTCCCACTGGTTTTGGCTCAACCATTTGACCGCAAATGGGACCGAGCAACTCGAACAAGTGATTACCCCCTCCCAAGTGGGTGCGGATTTCATGCATGCTCGCTCCTTTGAGGCCATCGACTACATCCACACGAACTTGCACTACATTCACCGTGACATCAAGCCGGACAACATCCTCTTTGACATCGACGGCTCGGCCGCCGCGGTTGCGCTTGCGCTTGCGCTTGCGAGCGGACGGGGGATTCAAACTGGATGCAAAGCTTTTTTTCGGGGAACATACTGATGAGTACACCAAAACGGATCGGGTTGTTGTTCTATTTTCCAAAGATTATGTTTGGTGTTTCTTGCTTCGGAAGTTCTCCCCTGGCGAGTCGGCGAGGGCTCTTTCTCCCGGCATGCTTTGCACCTGCAGTCCTGAAGGGCCGGCTGGTGATTTTGGAGGGCGCACAGCCTCCAGTGGAATGATCCGCTCGCATTCTTTCTTGCCCGCATTTTTTGCGGGATTTCCGGGGCTCAGTGCCCCCGCACGCTCTTGCCTGTAGCACCAGCACTGACCCATTGCGGCAGCTGACTTCTTTGCATCAAGCCATTCAGCTCGGATCCGCACAAACCGCTTGCGGTCTTGCTGTGCTCTTTGTGGAGCAATGCTTGTCTCCGATGTTGCTCGGTTGCATTTGCGTGGCACGTGGCAGGCAAAATGAAAAGGTTCCAACTATGAGATGCCGATCCTATTGCTGACTACAGCCTCGCGAGTTTGAGGAAATTCCCCAAACTTGCGGATGCCGATGTTGCACCTAGCTTTTTCTTCGCCCCTCTCAAGTAGACAAATTTCTTTTACCGAGTTGGGGTCACGCCACGCCGCTTTTTCCCAGTTCCTTCCCAATTCTCCGCTTCCGGCGGTGCGACCTTGAGGCTTAAAGACTGCCCCCGCGCCTTGCCAGGCCACATCCACTTGCTGGTTGGGAGCTCAGGGAGGGACCTGAGAGAGGGTCTCTCCGACCCAACCCCGCACCGCACTGCCCTGTTTGGCATTGGAGGGATGGCTGGAAGGTCAAAGAGCTTTGCGGAAGGTGAACCTGGCTGGAATGGAGGGTCTAAGATGGCGCGCTTCAGTTTGGCGATTGCTTTGAAACACCAGCCAAAAGGCCAAAAGGCCAAAAGGGTTCTTGCTCTCCCGCCGTTCGCGACTCCATCGGGTTTTCCTAAGTCCGTGGCTGAGGATTTTGGCCTTTGCAAGTACCAGCCGCCGGAGCCTTCGCAGGGTGCAGGCGAGCAAGCGGCAGCATTGGTCCAACCGCGCTGGGGAGATGGGAAATTCCCCTGGGCTGTTCCCTCAACCGAATCGGGCGTTTCTTTTTGGATGGCTGAAAATGGACGCCACCCACGGAGGCAACAGAGGTTTGGGTGACCCCATTCCGGATGGCCAGTTGACTCCAACAAGCACTCCTGTCTTTGTTTGGCCTTTTGGTCCGGGCAAGTTGTCGAGTCCATCAAAAAAACACGCGGACGTCTCCCAGCCTTCCCGTGGGGGTGTTTTTGAAACCGGGTCAGCCGTTTGAAGCCACCGCGCCTTTCTTTTTTTTTCTTCAGAAAGAGCTTGCCGAAAGATCCATGTGTCATTGAGCTTTGGGTGTTCTTCTGGCTCTGGGGTCTTCTCCAAAGGTCACCTTTTCTATCCGATCCACACTCGCTGACTCGAGTGAGTTTCCCTCTAAGTCCGTGCTGTTTGGAAGACCTTCGCTTGGGCCGCACGAGGGGCTGCGAGTAGTACGTGATGTCCAAATGTAGCGGGAGCTGTGTAAGGGGTTTTCTTTGACACAGGCTCGGTGCAAATGTTCTGCACTTTGTGGTTGATTTGGGAGGGACATGGCCACTTTCCTACAACAACCAGGCCCACATAATTCTTGTTGGGGAAACACGTAGGACGGACTTGGGGCAACACTCCAAATATCCCACGCGAGACTCAATTTTTCCCATTCAGCAGGGTCAGTCAATTTGTTCACTTAACCCCATGGCCATTTCCTCCGGAGAGCTGGGGTAAAGTCTACCTTGTCAAAAGTGGAACCGTCCATGTTGTCTGTGTCTGGACCATGTCGCTCGACTCAGGAGCCGGCGGGATGCCGCTGACGGATCCCTGCCGGGACCTGAGTTCGTCGCTATGAGCGCGATGGAGTGGAAAGCCCATAGGGTGGACCCGAATGAGAGCTCAGTTGCCCAAAGCGAGTTTGACCTATTGTTTTTTGCTGCTGCTCAAGCCAAAACTTGCTCTTGTTGCGTCTCTTGACTTGTCCTCATTGTGTCTTTTCCTCGTCGGTATTTTTCCGACTTTGGCTCTTTATTTGTCCTCTTTGTGTGATCATTTGTTTCTCTTTCTCAATTGTGTCATGTTCTTTTTATCTCTTTTGCTCGGTTCTCTTTGTCTCAAGTTCAGGGATTGTTTTTCATTTTTTGACTGTTCTCCTCCTTGATTCCCCGTCTTCTCCTTATCTTTTTGCATACATTTTCTTGTCGGCTTGTCGTTCTTCTAGTTCTCTCCTTTTCCTTGTTTGAATTCTACTTGTTGTCTCTCTCTCTCTCTCTCTCTCTCCGGCTCGCTTGTAACGCAAGCCTTTTGTTGGCCTGAAGAGTGGTTCAGGCTCCAACAAAAATGCCGCTGCGTCCTGATGCTGGGCATGCATTCACTTTGCAGGTACGACTCTTGTCAAATTTCACGCGGCTCCTCATCTGGGAAGGACTCTCTTCCGGTGAGATCCATTTAACACCTGAGCGCCCAACCCCCCTATTTACCAATTCAACAAGTTGTTTTGCTTTAGTAAGGTGAATGTGAGGTCCCTTTCTGAGGCTGTGAACAAATAGTGGCCATGCGAATGTCAGCTTCGGATTCTGGAGAACCCCAAAGAGCAGTCAGAGGAATCCCCGAAAAACCAATGATTTCCTCACGAGAGGAGCCACCCCCCAGGTAGGATCCTCCCGTTTGGAATCCGAAGTTCACACTGGGTGCCTCGTGTCTTTTTTTTCCTCCTTTTTTGGGGTACCCCTTGGTTTTTCCTGGTTTTTGGTGGACGCCTAAAAGGAACACCACAATTTCTGGTGGGTCCAAGTCCCACCACCCAGATGAACGAATCACTTTTTTCGGGGGGGGGGGGCGTCGGAATGTCCCGCCGAAGGCCCGTCCTCCAACTGGAAGGCGCGGCACCCCCCGCGGGAGAAGATGCAATCCGTGGCCGCGGCCTCGATCGGGTGGCTGGTGCCGCGGTGACGCCGAGGCTCGCCGTTTCTCCTTTTTGGTCTCTCGTTTTAAAGCACCAAGCAAAAGGGGCAGTGAGCGTTTCCTTTTTTTGGCTTCTGTGGTTTCCCTCTTTTTCCCACTCGACAAGGGCTAGTGAGCGGCAAACCAACCACTCCTTAAAAGGGTAGTGAGGGTCTCTTTTTTTGCTTTCTTGGGGTTCCCTTTTCACTCCAAAAGGGGGAGTGAGCTTCAAAAGGGGTAGTTTTACCTTCCAGAAGGGTAGCGAGCTTCCAAAGTCAAACACACAGACACATAGAGATACACACAGACACATAGAGATACACACAAACATAGACATAGACATACACATACACAGACACGTACACATACACATACACACATGTCAAGCCTTCAACCATGGTTTGCATGACTCAAATATCTCACGGATTTGACCGTGGCTTAGCCAGTGATAATGACTGGTCTACTGATTGGGGGACAGACATAGTACTGGCGCGGGGGGCCACCCAAATTCCCCACAAAACCCGGACAACCCGATTTTCCAATTTTTTCTTGGGGAAGATACGTAACGTTTGTCCATGGTTTGCCACCATCTCCCTTGGCTTTTGACGGGTTTGCCCAACAACCTCGTCTTGCTTCGCAGAGGCCAGGTGCCTTCACATCGGGGTTAGTTTGAGACAGTCCCAAATTGCGACTTGTCAAAATCAAGCTTTAGGTTTTTTCGACAAAGCAGCAGCAACAGCCCAGCAAGCGCCTTTCGAGCCAGACGTCTGCGTTCAAGCCAAACAAAAAAGTATTCCTCCTCGATGAAGAAAAGAAACCGCGCTGTGCACAGCCTCTTCATGAGAACACATCATGAGGGAGTATGTCACATAGGGTTGATGCAGTCGGGGGCCCTTGGACTGCTCTCGGCGAATTCAGGTTGGTACGTGCTGCCGACATGTCTTGAGCCACCAGCCAAGCAGCAAACGCGTGGCATGGAACCCCAAAACAATATTCTTGGCAGAATCTCCTTGAGGGGACCCCGTTCTTTGGTTCCATTTATTTCAGGGCAGTAGTTTTCGTTCTCAGCACCAGTCCACTCTGTTCGTGGCCCAAACTTGTCAGCTTGCAAAGAGTCCAAGGCCTGCGGTCATTTTGAGCCTTGTGCATTTCCCCAGCGCATTTTCGAGGATTTTGCAATGCAGGCCAGACTACATGGGTCCGGAGGCATGCCGGTCGTAGCTGTTCTTGTGGGAATGCGAGCCGCAGCTGCAGCTTGTCCTTGACATCGGCAACAACTTTTGGGAATCTGACGAGCTTTGAGCTTGTATTAGTGACATGCTTGAGCTTTGTTGCTTCCGGAATCCTCCCCCCTTCGTGCATGCTTGTATGCGTCCTACCCGCTGGTGATTGTCGCAGGTGTATCGGAAGGCCCCCTACGGCAAGGAGTGCGACATGTGGTCTCTGGGGATCATCATGTTCGAGGCAGCGTCCATGCCGAGACCCTATCAGTGGGCCCTGAGCAGCATTTGGGCAGGCCTGTTTCCATTGGTTTCATACGAATGGAGCATAAATCTTGTTGAAACGAACGGTTTATCATATTGTTGTGCCCCGGAATACATTTGGCCTTATCATCATACAATGTTTCCGTTGGCCTGCCCTTGTTCCACGAGACCTGCCCAAATGAAGCATAAAGACATGTGCGTTACTGGTACGAGTCCGATTGACTCCAGGTTTGAGCGACCTTCCCGGAAAGTCTTGTATGGGCGTGTGTTATTTAAGGTACCCCCCTTGAAGGTTGGTGTAAAGCTGAACGAACAGGAACACCGCCAGTTTGGGAGCTCCAAATCCTTGTTTTGGCATAGGCGTGTCAAATGGAGATTTCCCACTGGACGCACAAACCCACCGGATCCATCCCACCGGATCCATCCCACCGGATCCCGCCTGCACGGTGGGCCCTTCATTCGACCTCATGGCTTGCCAGATGCAAAGCGCAAAGGCTGAGATTTTAGATCCATCGCAGAGACGCAGTATGTGCAGTCAAGCGAACAGGTATTTGCAGGAAAACACATGGACTGGGCATTTTGAGTCAAGGTCCGCCAGTTTTCAGAAACCAACTATGTAAAAACAAGCCGCACACCAAATATACAACCCCCCAGATGTTGAGTGGTCGGGGGACAACAGGAACTCCTTTTTTACAGGGGAACAAGGGGGCCTGCAAACAAATGAGCAAGACATCTAAATTGGTTAGCCCCGGCCCCTGGCCCCAGTCAAATCATTCAAACAATTGAAATACTTTGCATATTCTAAATTATTTAAGTACGTTTGAATCAAACTGAAGGTATACGCAGGTGCTGTTTCGGCGCAGGTGCTATTGGAGGTGACGGTGTGGCCACATTTTTGCGAGATTGCGGGTGCTAGGTACAAGGAGCTTCAAAAGCTCTTACAAGCAGCTTTACAAGGAACCTTCTGAGGAGTTGTATAAGGAGCCTTGCAAGGAGATTTACGATGCTTTATGAGGAGCGTGTCAAAAGAAGCTTTGCAAGGGGCCTAGTTAACATTAGTGAACTGGTCACACCAGCACCAAGGTAGTTTAATCATGGCAATACAAAACCAGCCCAAACAGAGATAAGCTAAACAACAAGCAAACCGAGGGGGGAAACGCACCATGAGAAAGCCACAACTCTGAGGAGAAATTGTGGTTTGGCAAAAGGTTTGTTTGTTCTTGGTTCTCTCGAATCCCTTTTTTCCGGCAGGTGTTTGTGCCTTTTTAGTAACAACCAAACACCTGGATTGCTTTTGTTAGAAACCAAACCACATTGAGGGTTCTGGTCTTTACAAACAGAAAACACACACAAACTGAGGGAAGACCAAACAAAAAAAAACACCCCCAGAAAACAAGAAACGTTTGGCAAAACCAACACTTCTCCTCGGTGTTTTTGCTTTTCTCGCGTATTTTTTTGGTTTTTGCGGTCTTCCCTCAAGAGTCTCTATAAACCACAAATCCATCGAGTTGGTTTATTCTTGAAAAACACAGTGAGGGAACACCAGCACAAGCAAGAACACCTCGAGAAAACACAGCGCAACAAAACTTTTGGCAAACAACAAAACTTATCCTCCGAGTTTTTGTATTTTTTTGTTTCTTTGGCCTTATGGATGATCTTTCTCGATGTTGTGTTTCACCGTCTCCACCCAAACTGCAAACATGCCAAACACATTTTTCCCAAAACAGATTCCGTTTTGCTTTAAATGCCGCTCTCATGACAAACAACAACACACACAACAAGGCACACATGCAGTAATTTCATTTTTTTGAGGCACGGCAACAAGATGTAGTTTATGGGCGGGGGCGGACACATACTTATGTACATTTGTTAGGTATTCCTGGTTTGCGCGCGGAGTTTCCCCGGGAGATCTGGGGCGTGGATCGCTGGGCGCCAGATGCTCTTCGGGGGCCCGCCATTCAGCGATGAGTGCCACGATCCCTCGGCGGCTGGCCCTGGTTAGGTGGGGGTTTGGGGGTCAGGCTGCGGCTTGGACCTTCCAAACGGGTGATCTTCCTGTTGATTCCTTCCGCAAAGCTGAAAAGGGTGAAACCGTCAAACCAAGTAGAGGGACCGTTCCCTTGAACGTTGGTGTCTGTTTCTTTTCCCCGAAGTCAAGCGGCAATCCACCGGCTAGTAGATGGCAACCCATGTAGAGGTTGTGGATTCTTGATTGCCAGTTGGTAAATCACAAGCACCTCGAAATCTCGGTTTGGCTTTGGGAACATGTGTGTGGGTGGTTTCCGCAACAGCTTGAACTTTTGGGAGGTCAAAGACCAGCCAGGTGTTTCGTATCTGGGGGTTTGTTCTGAGGCGCTTCCCTCGCCTGTCTTGCTTGGTTATTGGTGCGGGAAAAGCGATTGAAGCTTTTGATTCCTCTCAACAATTGTTTCGACTGGCTTGGATGGTGCTCAAGCGCTTTTTGCCTGACACGGTCATTGGTGAACGAACTCAGCGGCAACACCACCGAAGCGGGCACCAGCACCGACCACTGCAGGCACCATTTTTAGAGGGCACTGGAGTGAGCGCAGTGGGTGCGGCGCATGGATGGGTTTCAGTGGTGTCCGCTGCCTTTTCATGGGCCAGCATTCGGGAGCAGGGTGTTGTGTCTGCGCAGATCCCTACCAACTCGGTTTTTCAAGTCAGAGGACCTTGACATGTTCTTGTTGTGACCCTGTCGTTAGTCGCGCAGTGAGGCTTGGATTGTCCGGCTTGCGCTAACTTCGCCAGTTTTTCCCATGCGCATCAAGCACTTATGTAGAGTTGCCGCTGAGCGACACATCATGTGCTTGATACTCTGGTTCAGAGGCTGGAATGAAGGCAGGCGAAGGCTGATGGAGTCAATTGTTTTCTTTCCCCAGTTTGGTGTAACTCTGACTTTGCGATATCCAAGGGCGGTTGGGCCTTGGAACGGAGTTGGGCAAGCCCCTAGTTTGAACATGTTGCAGCCGCTATTGTTTGAAGAACCACCTTTTGGTTTTCTTGGGGGACCATTGCTTCGTTGGACACATGTGCCGCCTTGGATTGATGGCTGGTTGGTTGAGCTAGGCCTGGGAGATGCGGTGAAACACATGTTCACATTTGGGTGTGTCTTTTTTCGAGGGTACCTTTTTTGAGTGGTCTAAAGGGGAACAAATGCAAAGCCAAAGGTCCCCCATTCTGACACATCCCCATTTCTGGCCAAGAGTTGTGAGTCCGACCGATCACGTTGGCCCTTGTTGGCGGCCGTGATTCACGAACAACAAGTCAGAGGTCTCCAAATCCTTTCCCCCACCTTTTGCGCCCACGACGACAAAACAAATCCATCTGGCCCAAGGTGACCTCCGGCCGCGTCATGCACTGGCGGCGGTGGTTCAAGATACCGCCGGACCCCAATGTGAGCCAAGAGGCGAGCATGAGAGGGGGAGGGGTTGGTAGATGTCGTTGAGTTGTTGGATTCCTTTTCTTCCCTCCCTGAATGAGGCGTGTTCATTGCGTCCTTGGGGTTAACGGTGAATTTGGCTTGACATGCAGCTGACAAGATCGCGAGGAGTGTTCTGTTGACTTGGGCATGGATGGGGGGACATACCAGCTTGTTGGTTGTGTCAACCGTTTTGCTGCCCGATTTGCGGAAGAGGTTTTGTCGTGCGCGGCAGAAAGATATACGGCTGCTTCAAGCGCGTTTCAGCCCATCTTGACTGAAGCGTCGAGGGTGTGCATCCGGCCAGGCGCGGGACTTGCTCCGCGGCCTCATTTGCGACCCTGAGGCGGGCGAGAGGAGGGCCCAGCGTTTGAGGAAAGAGTTTAGAGTTTTTTTTTCTTCTTCAAACAAAAATAACATAAACACAATCCAAAAATAAATCCGCACCCAAAGAGTTTGGGTGGTCACCTCAAGCCGTCCGAAACATACCCAAGCTTGGCAGCGGGGCCTTAGTTTGGGACTTGCCAGTAGCGGCATTTCTGTGGCGCGCATGACATTTGTGATGGTCTCAGGATAAGAGAAGCCTGGATCAATTCATGCCTAGCTGGTGGATATCCTCACTTCCTGAGTTCCTGGACTTTAAAGTTTTTGGGAGGACCATTTTAGTGGTAAACAGACAGTTCGGACTTTTGTTGGCTCCAGTCGATCGGACGTGAGTATCGTATAGTATCGTTGTGTCCCTTTTCCCTGTTTTGCTCTCAGCAGGGAATGAGGGAATGACCCCTACACACCCTCCCCTATGGTTTCCTTTCAGGGACTCTCAAATCGGTTCATTCCATTTCTCATTCCCCAATCGCACCGGTCGCAAGTTTGGGTCTCCCTGCAAGCTGCCAGGATCGTTTGATCGCCGACCAGATCCGGCGCCACCCCTTCTTCCGGGTGCCGCTCCGGGAGTCGGATGGGTTCGGTCTGTCGAAGCGTCGAAGCCGCCGCTGGCCATGGGATTTCTCAGGGTGGTGGACATGGAGGTTCTGCAGGAAAGTAGTCGTCCAAAACCCTCCGGTCAGCTTTCATGATTGGAGGGAGAGTACCCCTTTCACCTTGACTCGAAGTTCAGGCCATGTTGGGAATACACTGGCAAACGCTTGGTTTCAAGTGCAGTGGATCTCTTCGCTTCTCCTGCTGTTTGTGCGCATTCGATGCAGGTACGCAGCCACCCTAAAGGCAACTACTCACACAAGAGGTTGTTCAAACAGAAGGGGTATACGGGTTGCCCAATTCCTTCCAGAGGTCTTTAATTTGTTTCTTGCAGAAAAACAAAAACAAAAACAAAAAGCCAAAGGCCTGCCTGGATTTTGGGATAGAAGAAGCGTGCCAGTGTCAGGGTTTGGACTTCAAGAAGCTGCGGTCGATGAATCCGCCGATCAAGCCTGTTGCCCTTGGCTCGGACTGACCGGACCCCCTGCGAATCGGTTTGGATTAATGGTTGAACCGGTTGGGCGACCCTTGGTTGCGGGCAAATGGGAACCCCGAAACACCTCCAACCAGTCCAAATCACCACTGGGAGGGAAGCTGATACCAAGATCGTAGTGTTTTTGGTTTGGTACCAGACAGCCAGAAGGCAAGAGGCAACAGCTTGCGTGTCCCAAACGTGAACAAGGCCGGGGTGTTCGTTGTTTTCTCCGCGCAAACGAGGACTTTGTTTTGTTTACGGAACAAACATGTTTGGTTGGGTGTTTCCCCCATTTTTGAGGTAAGCTGCTAGCTGATCGACACTTAGGTCAAGGGTCCTTTGGACACTTCCAACTTCGACGACTTCAGCGGAGTGGACGAGAAGTTTGTGATTGCCAAGGAGAGGCACAAGGCGTGGGGACTGGAATCCAAACGGACATTCGTCAAAACGACCCGGCAAGTTTGGTTTCCTTGCTACTTTGACTCTGCTGTTCGTCTTAAGAGTGGATGCCTCTCGGGCCGTTTTTATGGGGGCAGACGGTGTGAGCCGTGTTTCCTACAAGCCTTCGCTTGTCGACCAGTCAAAACGGCGTGACTCAAAAGCGGAAAAACAAATCGCCGCGAGGTGACGGGGGATCGGGTCTCCAACGCGGCGTCCGGGGCTCTGAGCCTCCGAGCGACGGCTGGGGGGGCTGGGAGGGTTGCAAAGCGAAGCCAGGTTGGAGGGAAAAGGGAACATGCGCCCTGCGAGTGTTGAGCCAGGAAGCATGACCCACCTGGTTGATAAATAGGGCCAGGGAAACCTTCACTTTTGGGCGAACATTCATTGATTTGCGGCATTGTGCCTCGAGTGTATTTGAGGTTTACAGTTGCATCAAAAGGTCGCTCGCGCCGAGCTGCCTAGGTTTCATGACTACGGATACCGGCGCGATTTGGAGGCGCCTGCGCACAGGGCTGAATAGATGATGTACTTGATGGATGACTGTCGAGGCTTTCAAGACATGGTGTTCCATTTCGAAAAGAAACCAACCATTCAAGCATGTGCTCAGCAATGTTGATTTCATGTTAGTAAAGGGCCTCCCCTCAACGTTGTGTTTTTGGCCAAGTTCCCAAATAAAACAACAAATATGGTTGTAGTCTTGCTTGTAGTACTTGTAGTACTGCTTGTAGTTGGTCCACGGCACACAGACGGCCGTGGGGTTTTCAGCTGATTGGGTGGTTGGTGGGGGGATGGGGGGGTTGAAGGGAGGGATTTGGGGGGGGGGCAATGGGGGGTGGGGATGTAATTACGTTCGTTGGCATGCGCCGTGCTTTACGTGAGCCCATCGTACACGCAGCAGCGCACGAGGGGGGGGGGGGTGGGGGGGAAGGGGGGGATGTAAATATGTTCGTTGCTCACGATGCATTTGGACTATGTTTTGCTTTTGAAAGTGGAGGGGCATTTTCTGTTGTGCAGTTCACACAAGTAGCAAAAGGAAAACACATATATATATATATATATATGTGTCAATAAACTTGCTGTGGCCTATCAGGATGTCGATTTTGAACATGGGGTCCTTGCCAGCGTCATGAGGGCAAAATGGAGGTGTTCAATACATTCACATGACACCAAACGATCACACATCGACGTTGCAGAGGGTTTTGGCCTATCAGGATGTCGATGTTGAACATGGGGTCGTGGCCAGTGTCATGAGGGCAAAATGGAGGTGTTCAATACATTCACATGACACCAAGCGACCGCACATCAACGTTTGCAGAGGGTTTTTTGTTTTGGGGCTACCCTTTCTGTGACGACAAGCACGGTGATATGATGCTCAGCAAGAATGGTGATACGAAGGCCCTCGGCATGCGTTGCTCGCTGTGTCTTTGCAAGTAGTTGCACCCCATTGCGAAACAGTGCTCGAACTCTTGAATAACGTGGCGCTCGCGGGACGAAACATAGGTGTGAAACTGCTTGTAATTGCGGCGCAGAAGGGTGTGTCTTGGGAAAACGGGTTTCCCCCCATGGAATTTACAGCGCATGAGCACAGAGGCGGTGACGTGCATGAGAAAACCTCACGGCCGGCTATGTGCCGCATACCTAGTTTGTAGTAGTACTTGTAGTAGTACTTGCAGTAGTACTTGTAGTGGTGCTTGTAGTCGTACTTGTAGTAGTAGTTGTAGTAGTACTTGCAGTAGTAGTTGTAGTAGTACTTGCAGTAGTACTTGTAGTAGTACTTGTAGTAGTACTTGTAGTAGTACTTGTAGTAGTTGTTTTTGTAGTACTTGCAGTAGTACTTGTAGTAGTACTTGTAGTAGTACTTGCAGTAGTACTTGTAGTAGTTGTTGTTGTAGTACTTGCAGTAGTACTTGTAGTGGTGCTTGTAGTCGTACTTGTAGTAGTACTTGTAGTAGTACTTGCAGTAGTACTTTTAGTAGTACTTGTAGTAGTACTTGTAGTAGTACTTGTAGTAGTACTTGTAGTAGTACTTGTAGTAGTACTTGTAGTAGTTGTTTTTGTAGTACTTGCAGTAGTACTTGTAATGGTGCTTGTAGTCGTACTTGTAGTAGTACTTGTGGTAGTACTTGCAGCAGTACTTGTAGTAGTTGTTGTTGTAGTACTTGCAGTAGTACTTGTAGTGGTGCTTGTAGTCGTACTTGTAGTAGTACTTGTAGTAGTACTTGCAGTAGAACTTCTGCTAGTACTTGCAGTAGTTCTGCTTGTAGTACTGCTTGTGCTGCTTGTGGTACTGCTTGTAGTACTGCTTGTAAGACTGCTTGTAGTACTGCTTGTAGTACTGCTTGTAGTACTGCTTGTAGTACTGCTTGTAGTACTGCTTGTAGTACTGCTTGTAGTATGGTTGTAGTACTGCTTGCAGTACTCGTGCTTGTAGTACTTGAAGTACTTGTAGTACTTGAAGTACTTGTAGTACTTGAAATATTTTGTAGCACTTGTAGTGTTGTAGTACTTGTAGTACTTGTAGTACTTGTAGTACTTGTAGTACTTTTAGTGCTTGTAGTACTTGTGCTACTTGTAGTACTTGTAGTAACACAAGTACTTGTAGGGCTGTAGGTGCTTGTAGTACTTGTAGTACTTGTAGTACTTGTAGTGCTTGTGGCACTTGAAGTACTTGAAGTACTTGTAGTACTCGTAGTACTCGTAGTACTCATAGTACTTGTAGTACTTGTGGTACTCGTAGTACTCGTAGTACTTGTAGTACTTGTAGTGCTTGTAGTACTTGCAGTATTTGTAGTACTTGTAGTACTGCTTCCTGGGGGGTGCGCTGGAGAGTATATTAATGTGAACCTTTTACTCATGTAGGTTTGGGGGTTTTGTGTGCGGCACCTCTTTGCTGGACTGTTGGGGCCTCACTTTTTGGGGAAATCTTTTGTCTGAAGCTTGCAAGGCTTCGAGCTCAGCTAGTTTGCATATTTTTGGGTTTGTGTGCGAGCATCATGGCAATGAATTTTAATAAGGGACCCCTTGGTGGACATCAACATTCGGTGGGGATTCATGGCCGCCAATCACTTTTGAGGTAGTTCCCTATTAAAACTCGCATAGCTTTTCTCCTGGATTTTGCCGACCCATGATCCTGAAATGTGGGTCCCGGGTCTGCTGGGGATTTTTTCATGTAATTTTTTGGTGGTTGATTAATGTGAGATCGGGGGATGAGCCTGGGGTGCCTGCTCGGTATTTTTGCAATTACCTTATGAATTAGCCCCTGCTTAATTTGGTATTGGGTTAAAACGGGTCCGGCTTGCCGCTCATTTTCGGGGGCCAATTACCAACCTTAAGTTGGCATTAAATGGTTCATGGCTTTTCCCGATATGTAATGACTGCCAGAACCCCAAGAGCAAGGCTATAGTCAGGTTTTAAATTCGGATCATCGCAATGAGTCCATATTTTCGATCAAGACCACACCAACCATACCATGCTAACGAAGACGCACCACCAAGGCAATCTACCATTGGACTTAGCCACCCTCCCCCAAAAGGAGGCCTGTGTGCCGTTCCACGACGCGCAGCAGGCCCAAAAAAAATAGCAAAACGCAGTGCGTGGCATAGTCATACGATGATTGTCAGACAACTGCATATGTGAGAATAGATAAGAATGCGTGGCAAATGAACTAGTTGGCAAGGAAAAGCTACAGTCGCAAGCGGCAGGCTACCCCTGAGAAGCGAACGGGTTCGAAAGGTCTTTGAGCAAATCGCAAGAGACAACATATATGTATCGATATATATATATATATACATATTGTATACATATATATATATATTTGTACATACATATATGTGTATATATAAGCACATACATACATGCATACGTACACATGGTCACAATTGCCCATGAACTCCCTCGTCTCGGCATCTGACCATGTCATTTTTTCCCCAATTTGCAAGCACTATTTGGCGGACAAACTGCTGAACAACATGCGTAGAAATATAGAATATATGTACGTATACATATACACATACATATATATATATATACACATATATATATATATATATATACATATACATATATATATATATATAGAGATAAATTGCTACGCATACAGTTCCGCAGATGTAATTTTGTACTTTTTGTAGCACCCCTCGGTGCCTTTCCCGAGGCTGGCATGACCCCCGCCTTTTCTTTTTTTGGTCTGTGTCCAAAGTTTTCTATCTTGACTATTGGGATCTTCAGCCAACTTTTTTTGGGACGTGTGTTTTTTTTTCCCACCCACCAAGCAGTTACCCGAGCGGTTATTGACGTATAGTTTAGAGTCGACCAAACTTGAAGCAGCAACGGAGCATGCTATTTGCTGGAGCACCTTGGATGTGGGCCAAGTTAACTGAGGGAAGCGTGCAAACGTCAAATCGGCGCAGCAAAAAACCCACCTCGGTCGCCCCCCTTTCTTTTGCAGGCGAAGAAGCCGTCGATCTCGGCAGCGCTGAGTTCAGCGAGTGTCGTGGCCAAGCAGGATGCCCGGACCTGAGCACCACTATCATAAGTGTCCTTTAATAGATGGCCCTGGTTTACCTGGTGGTTCAATCGTGCACGAGGGCCATCTATTTCCCCTAAAAGGACACCTATGACCACTAGATTCTAGGGTAGACTAAGTATGGACTATGGTCAACACATGCTATGGATGGACGAAACTCTGCACCTAAGAAACCCTGGAATGATGTTTCCCCTCTAAATGATGCCAACAAACAATGGTTTCCCATGGTTTCAAAGCGGTGTGAACGGATTCCGTCCATCCACTGTATTATCCGCTGTGCCCCAGATCGCTGAGCCTTGGCTTTTTGGCAGACAACATGTGTGACCATCGGTTTAACTCGGTGTCCACTCTGGGAAGCGACACTTGAGAGCCTCAGCTTCCAGGCGATTCCCTCCCACCCAGACCACGGCAATCGCAAATGGCAAGACTTATACACTGGACGGGGCTTGCAGACTTCGGGTAATTTGCAGCAGTACTCACTCGAGGGTCACGCGATCGTTTTCTTGACAGAGTGCAGAAGGGGATGTGTTGGATGGAATCGGGTCTCTGCAATGGAGTGCTGCTGGGTTACTTTCGCATCCTTCCTTTTGGCCACAAAAAACCAGGGACAGAGACCTGGTGCTTGCAGGCGTGTCCTTTTGGTAGCCAACGGATCTATCGGTGGCTTGGATAGCTCTCCATGGCCCGCCTGAAGCCCTCACGCCTAGCTAGCGACCAGCGGCTAGCTGGACGGAAGCGGTGTATGTGGTTCCATTCCAGCGGTTCAAACATGTGTCGCCATGGTTGAAAGACATCGACTCATTCAGGTCTCTGTCCAACGGAAAAGCATTACCCGATTCGCAACGAGTCAAAAGTGCTTCACGAAACCCTGCTCCAACCTCCTCAGTTGGCATCCAACTGCTGGATTTGCTGATGGGTTTGGTGGGCAAGTTTGCGGATCGGGTGTGGGTTTGGGCCCAACTCGAAATGAACAAGAGAGGCCTTTTGCTGGACTCCCAATTTCTTGCGCCTTTTTGGGTTGGCCGGACGCCGGCTAAAAACGAAAACACGGACATGGGGGATAAAAATGGGGGGGGGGAGCTGGATGTGGGCCAACCCTCCCATTAGCTCACTGGAGTTCCTGGTCAGGCTTGTTTTCTCAGTTGCCCAGTGGCGCCCTTTTTTCAACTTTTTTTCTTCTTCTTTTTCTGGGAAGGGTTCCGATCCCTTTAAACTCAACCAACCAAAAAAGAATGCCCTTTGTATCCCATGGCCACTTTTGGGCCACTCTCCGGAAGAGACTTGCGTAGGGGGTTCAACAGTCAGGCCATGGCCGCGGCCATGTCGCAACCGGCGGACCAGTTGGCCACCTTGCCGGTGGCGCCGGCGTACGCAGGACTGCGGGTCCGCAGTGTCCAGATACAGCAAACTGTCCACAATTTCGGGCACTTTTTTCTAGGTGTCCTTTTTAGGTTGGTTTGAATTTCTGGAAGGCCCGAAGTGACAAAGTAGTAAAGAATGACCCATGTTGGTATCACAGAAAGGGATATGTTGCACCTCATGTTTGTCTCTTCCCACCGTTCTTCTGCTTGGTTGCAATATTTCGGTTCTGTTTTCATTTGCAACAAACATTGGATAGCCTTGAACCCTTCTCTCATGGTCTGACGGGGACCGAAGAGCCTGACCAGGGTGGTGCAGAATGGGCGTAGGAAAGTTGGTGCTCCAGAATCGTAGCCCTGAAAAATGGCTCAGAAAATAGCTTGGTTCCCTTTTGAAGACCATCCAAAAGAGGTCCCCATTTTTCACGCAGTGGCTTTGGAGGCCTTGTCCTGGTTCCAAACCAGCGGGTTCTCAGATCTTGAGAGAACTTGTGATTATAAAGCACGCGTGACATTCGTTGCTTCTTCGGAGGGTAGCCACGTGTTTGTTCTGTTTCAAGGGGAGGCGCAGTATTGGAGTGTGTATCATTGAATTTGCCCCAACTTGAAGGCAGATCTACGCCTTCTTCGCAGAAACCACAGAGCCCCGAAGCTGATGTCTGTGACCTAGTCCTTTCTTGGAGCTTCACTGCCACCATGGTTTGGGATTTTTCTCACATTGAGCTACCACACGTAGATCCTGTAAAAGCCCGGGTTAGCCAATCTCTGCACAGGGGTGCCGCAGCCCGCGGGCGCCCCAGCGCTGGAGAAACGGCCTCGAAAGGGTTTCCTCTCTCGGGTCCAAGTGAAGCCCCTGCCTTCACATGGGAGCAAGTCACTTGTTAGTTTGTTCCAAACTAACTCTTGGCTCGGCGTGTCGAATGCTTGTTTCGACACGATCAACAAACTATTGGCCTTCCGTTCGAAAGTCCCCCGAAATCATTCCTCCCCGAAATGCGATGCGCTGAGAATCAGAGAGCCGGGCTCCAATTTTTCGGGGGATTTTTTGGGCGCTTGGGTCCCGAGGGTTCGGGCCGAAATCAATGGGAGGGTTCAAACAGGCCGCACATTTGCCGTGGATCTTTCATATGGCGGTGATTTGTTTGACAACAACATGTGGTGGGGTAGCTTGCAATGCTCAGTGGCAGACTGGCTCTCTTTCGCTCTCTCTCTCTCTCTCTCTATTTCTCTCTTTCTCTCTTTCTCTCTTTCTCTCTTTCTCTCTTTCTCTCTTTCTCGTTGTTTACCTGTCTCTTTTTGTCTCGCCTCTCTCTCTTCCCGTGTCAGAGTCAAAGGACGTCGCTCTCAAGTGCTGTTCTGACAAGGGTTCGGCGGAAAAAGGAGGGGCAAAAAGCTAGAAAGTCCAAAGTGACAGAAGTTTCGGCAGTCACGGGTTGTGTAGAACCCGCACTGAACAAATCGCGCTTTCCTCAGCAAACGGACCAGCTTTTTTGAAGCATCTGTGGCCCAAATGCTGTGGGAGCATAATTGCAAGAAGCCATGCAGCACAAGTGAGTGCAGTCGCATGTGCACACCATGTTGATGTTGACACCCGCTCACAGACACAAACTCATGTTTTTTTTGGTTTGGTTCCCGTCTCTCCCCCTCTTTCAGTTAGCTCAATAGTGTCCGTTGGTCAAAATGTGGTGTTGCATCGGTATCACAAGCCGTCCTTGCGGAGAGTGCGGGGAGATGGCCTAAGCTCTCCCTTCGGGGTGCGAGAATTCGCCTCGCCTGAGGGAAGGGACCGCATCATGACGGCGCCGGCGGTCGCAGGCGCCATGCGAGTCATGGTCACAATATGCGTAGATCACTTTAGTGAAGCGGGGGTTGGCGTGAATTTGCAGAAAGCCTCGCAAGGACCCACCAAGAACCAAAACTACATAAACACCTTGACGAAGACAAGTTTTTTTTGACGGTAGCTCATGTGATCCTGGAGGGCCTGGCCTTTGGTGTTTGGGGCGACTTCTGCCTTATCCATGAGAGTGAGAGAGCTGGAGAGTTTCCGTCGCGCAGGCGATGGATGGTATGTCCAGGGTGACTGGTATTGCAAGCAGCCCAGACTGTGAGAATTTTGCCTGTTGCCTACTTGCGCATGGGTTGGGTTTTCTCTCTGCGGCTCACTTCTCGGAAAGCTTCGTAGCTTGCAGGCTATGGTTGAGTCGTAGCTTGAGGCCCAAAAAATGCGGCGCCTGAGGGTTGTTTGCCTGGCGGCCCTGGGCATTTGTGCCCATGTCTTCCTCAGACCCGTCGACCAAAGACGTGTGAGCCAGCGATCGCGCCGAGTGGCGCGGGGTGCCGAGGGCGAAGGGGACTGGAGGGAGTTCCGGGCGCGGCTGGTGCAACAGGAGCTCAGCAGAGAAGCGGAGGTGGGAGTTACAAGCTTGCTGAGTAGGGAATGCCCCAGGTTTTGGGAATGAATCTAGGGATTCCCTCAAGGGGATGCTTGATAGGGGTCACTCCCTCGTTCCCTGCCAAGAACCAGCAAGAAAGTCTTCTGCTTCTTGTTGGGTCAAAACATCTTCTTATGTGGGATGAGACAAACAATTAACCGTCATGGCCCGCATAGGGAGTTTAGACCTTGGCACAATTGGCTATGAATTTTTAGTGGTTGGAACAACTTTCCAAATAGACCTAGGAAGTAGCCATTTGCTCTTAGAAACCCGTCTGAGAGCCAGGTGCCGGCCTGTTTTGGGAGATGGCGAAGGGGAGACTTCAGACTTGAACGGGTCCATTATAGGTGAGACATCCTCTAAAATATCCATCTGGAGTAAAGGGATTTCCCAGCCATAGGCAATTTTGAGGACTGCTGAAAATAGTCGCCTTTCATGGTCCCAGCAAGTTTAGCGAGAAGTACGACAAGGGAACCCGGTGCAATGGACCGTTTTGAGCGCCCCTCAACATGCCTGGTCAACCGATTTGGACCTTTCCAAAGAAAAATCCCTCAACATGTGCAAGGAAGGCACCGCTACCCTCAAAATTGATGATTCACAGGGGAAACAGGATCCAAACGTCAGCTTAAAGACTCGTTTGCATGGCCCCTTTGAATGCCAGGTGGACGCCATCTCGTTGAAGAAGGCGGAGCAGTGGGCCTATGAGAGTCCCATCATCGAGCAGGGCTCCATCCTGCTGTCGGCGCCCAGCGACCACTTCTGCATGAACCAGCGCCTGGGTTTCGTCGAAGGGACCTGAACAAAACTGGCTGGTGCGGAAAAAAAGGAATGGCCCGGGGTTTTGGGAATGAATTGAGGGGTTGAAACCAGAGGGGATGGTTTATGGGGGTCATTCCCTCATTCCCTGCTGAGCACCAGCAACAAAAAGCAACTGAAAAGACCATGGGAGTCTTACCAGGGTTTCAGTTCAGTTGAGAATTGGAGTATGGCTCAACCCCGAAATAGACAAAGTCTTACCGCTGATGAGCCAGGTCCTTGTCGTAAAATCCGACTTCAACATCACGCGTCCTTTTAGGTTTCAGTTCGGTTGAGTAGCGGCTTCCGCTATTTCAGTTTATTTCTAGTCGTTTACGCATACCATCTATATTTTGAATAGGCACTCAGGGGGAAGGGCCTTCTCTTTTCTCTGGAATTTCTCGTTTTTGGCGAGACTTTTTGTCATGACCCCCCACAAACAAAAAAGCTGCTCCCCATCATCATGCATATTCTCTGGGGCTCACAGCGGATTTTGCTATGGGGTCTCTCCCATTCGCCCCGTGGCTGGCGATGTTCATGTCGCTTTCTGAGGCAGTACTTCCACAAGAACGTGATCTTCCTGGTGCGACACAGCGATGAGTTCACCATGGGGGTGATCCTGAACCGACCCACCGCCTTGAGCACCAACGACATTGAGTCGGAGGCGGCCCTCGGTTTCTCCCAGGAAATGGACGACTGGAACGTGTGGTGCGGCGGCGATTGCCAGGCGGAATGCTTCGGCGTGTTGGCCTGTTTTTGTTTTTCTTTTTTGTTTGTCTTCCCCGCCCTTTTTTTCTTTTTCTTATATATTTTTATGCCTTCGACCCATGGTTTTGGGATTCCGTTCTTTGTTTTTCTTTCCAACTGAGGCCAAGCATAAAACCACTCCAAACCCATTTTGGGGAATTCGAGCCACCAAAAAATTCGCCACCCCCACCCCCCTTAGACCTTCAGGGTATCAACGACCGCGGCAGCCGGGTGCCCTTGGAGTACTCGGTGCTCCATGGCATGGAGCAGCTCGCGGAAAGCTCCCAGACCATCACCCAGGGCGTCTACGCCATCGAGCTTGACAAGGCTTTCCGGTTTTCCGGTTTTCTCTGGTTCTCCGGTTTTTGCGGTGCGGGCTGGTTTGGCGGTTTCGCGAGACCGGTTTTTTTCTTTTTCCGGAACAAAAGGGGACAAGGCCCCGGGTTTGCCTCCGGTTTTCGGGCTTCGCCCGCGGTTGTTTGGGCCAAGGGTGTGTGGTTCGGTTTCGCGTGGTTTCCCCAGGAGAGTCCGAGTTTTTGTTTTTCCCCCGGAGAAAGAAAGGGGACACCTAAGAAAGGAGGTTGGAAGCAACAAGGGCGGGTTGGGTGGGTGTTTTTGGAGAGTTGGCATGCTCTTAAAGGTTGTTTCACGGCAGTGACAAGGAGAGCCACTATGTTTGCGACACATACCCAAGCTCCAACAGCCCCTGCAGCCCCTTTAAAGGGAAGCCAAGAGAGATTGATAGGGACACCAAACGGCAGGCAAAAGTGTTTGAACCAGCCCCTAGTCCAATTCCTAAGGGAAACCCCAACCTTCTTGCAGTTTTGTAAGGGTTGGTTCCCCATCCTATTCACTCAGCCATCTTCATTTGTCCAGTTTTTCTTCTTCTTCTTCTTGAAAAAAAAATCGAGAATTATCATGTTGTCCAAGAGCAAGCATCATTTTCAGAAAGAAGTCTTCTTTTTGGAGTCCTCCTTTCTGGGTTCCTCTGGTGTGATCCGTTGACCGGTGAGGCCAAAGAGCTGGTAGCGGCAGGCGGGGTGGCATTTGTCAGTAGCTGCACTTCAGTAGGCGTCATTTCTTTTTCCTTCAGGTTTCGTTGGTTCGTTCATGACAGTAGCACCAGTTAAGGGGTCAGTTTTGATGTGGCCATATGAGAAGGAGTTGCGAGCTCCTCGTTTGACCACACTTTTCAAGTGTTCTTGCTGAGGTGAATCGCAAGTGAGCGTCTTTTCAATTGAGCTTCCTTTCAATGGAATGAAGCTCAAGGGTGGTTGGCGAGTCTGGTTTGCTTCATTCATTGAAATTGGAGGAGGGAATCTGGCTCTGCAGAAAGCAGCCAACCAATCACATGATTTTGTTCGCCCCCAGGACTCTAACCCATGGCTTTCGACCACTGTTTTTGTTCGGTCGCTGCAAGAAATGACGAAGCTTTTTGGGTTGCAGGGACACATGGAAGCCTGGCCAGTTTGCTGGAGGGTTCCTCGCTTGAGCCTCAAGACTTTTAAGCCATGGATTTTTCCCCCTACCTTCGGTGACTCCCTTTCTCAGCCTAGGTCGGAGTCCCATCGGGTCGCGATTTTTTTTTGGGTTCGGCCACTTGAACTTCCACTTCCCCCTACCACCTTTTGGCCGAGCGCAAAGCCCTCAAGTCAGCAGGGCAGATGCCTGGGCACTAGAAACCCAGGAGTTGATGTGGGTATCCAATAGATTCCGAGCCCCCCCCCCCCCCCCCACGTTTTTTTTTTTGTTCCCCCTTCATGATGGTGTCCTTTTGGTTCCCTCGTTCAAAGTGTTGTTTTAACCCCGGACCTCTACCCCAGAACACCTCACCACCAATCCAACCACCAACCATTTTTTTTGCTGGGGGGGTACCAAGGTTTTTGTGGTTCTAAAGGGAAAGCCACCAGGAAATCCGAAGCCGTTTCTCTTTTGGGCATGGGGGGGGTGTTTGGGTTCAACATCCCAAAGAAAGGGCCGCGCCGGCCATGATGGAAGTAGGGATCAGGAACGAGAAGGGCTTTAGAGAGGACGTGCGAACCGCTGTCTGCTCGGGGAGGACAGCAGCCAATTTCAATGATCTTCTCATGTGTGGCCCACACATGATTCCAATCCGAAGGCCAATCCAAAAGAGCCAAAGAGGGAAGCGCTTGTCGCAGGGGAGGTGGACAAGGACGACTTCTTGCTGCTGGTGGGGTACTGCGGCTGGGCCAGCGGGCAGCTGCAGGGGGAGTTGGACCGGGGGGATACCTGGACCATGGCCTCCGTGGACCCCCGGTCCCTGCTGGGCCAACTGCGGGACGAGCAGGTCCCAAGTCCTGGGGGTCCGGGTGAAAGGTGTCCGGTTCTTTTTCCGTTTCAAGAAAAGGGGAACCAAGAGGAACGCTTCGCATTTTTTTGAGGGTCCCCTAAAAACACACTCGCACACACACACACAAGGAACACCTAGTACTTTTTTTAGGGTCCCCGAAAAAGCACACACACACACCTATATGGTTAGATGGGTGTTTCTGAAAGGAATCGGCCCATCTCCTATAAAACAGTTGGTCAACTGCCAAAAAAGGGGTTTTGTACCATTTTTCGGGAAAGAGATGGGCCGTTTCTCAAATTGGGCGTGGCTCGTTCTTTTGAAGCCAAAAGTACCCTTTGGAGGTTGCTTAAAAGGGAAACCAAAAGGACGCCACCATTTTTTGGAATCCCCCTATTTCGGCACAATACCCAAACAGGAATCGGTCAGTTGGTTTGTCAGTTGGTTTTGGATTAGTTTCACTACTACCAAGAGGGGTTCGAATCCCATGCTGAGAACCTTTCAGATTTATTGGGCCCAAGGGAAGGAGGTGGCTGCATCTCAGGAGTCACGTCGGGGTGATGGGAAGGAAGCCGCCAGGGGGATGGCTCAGTTCGGTTGCAACGCATTCCCCACAAAGAACCAGACAGTTTCTCATTTTCAATTAGCAGGACAATGGCTGGTTGAGGTCTGGGTTGTGCAAAATCAAATTAATCCGGATGTCAGATAGTGGTTCCCTGGTTGCTGTTCCACTGCAAATGAGATTCGGGATCTCATGTTGAACAACCCAGTTTCTGGAGGAAGGGGGCGGAAGGGGACGGGTCATAGCATGAAAAAAATCACGGAAGGACAACCCGAAACCCGGGGGATTCATCTTGATTTCCCTTCTTGGAACCTACGGAAGTGGCAGCTTCGATGAACACCAGCGGCCAGTTGCAACCTTTGCAGGGGAAATTCGGGCCGCCTGGCCCGAAGCCAGGCGGCGCTGCGGAAGCGCTTGAGCGCCGCGGAGCACGGGGACGTCTTCACCTCCAACGACGTGGGGGATGGCCTGGACATGTGGGAGCGCCTGTTTCTGGGCTGAGGTAGAAAGAAGAAAAAGCACCGGGCGAAAGGAGTAGATACATGATTCCCCGCACGAAATCCGGACTAGATTTGGTTTTGGAAAACAACTTTTGAAGCGCGAAATGATGCCAAACATATCCCCTCATGAAATCAGATTTGGTTTTGAAGCAACCAACCCAATTCGAGCTTGGCGCTTCCAGGCTTGGAGCAGGTCCATTGTTAGGGCCTGACCCACCAAGATCTTATTTTGGTGGGCGAGGCAAGGTCTGCCCCAAATGTTCAAAGCCTCCCCATTCCCGAAGGGATCTCCCATTGTTCTTGGATTCTTTACCAGTCCATTAACACATGGCCCGATCCGCGCGGCAGCGGCAACAGGTCTTGCGGGCGAGACCAATTGAGCCACAATCAAAGCCTCGGTAGATGAAAGTTAGTAAGGGACAATCCCAGCCATAAATAGCTGCGGCCGCCTTCTTAATTCTTTACATAGTTCTGGGTCGACCATTTTAATACTGGGTTTTGATTATGACTCAATTGAAATCAGGTCCGTGTGCCCGGGCTTTTGGAGATGCGCGGCGACTTGTTTGCCATGTTTCAGCGAGGTACCGGGCGCTGGGACCAAAGTATGAGCAGAGGCTCACAGACTTTGAAGCCACCGGGGAGAATGAGCATGCGGACGAGATGCTGCGCACGTGGGCGGCGTTGCAATCCTTGCTTTATGATCTCCTCCACTTTGGTTGAACACTTTTTCCACGGACAAAAAGAGAGGGACCCCTAAAATGGCCGGTTTCCTTTGGGCTTCCCTTTGAAACCGCCCCAAAAGGTGCCATCAAGAAACAGACACACACACACACACACATGTGTCGTATATATATATATATATATATTGGTACATGCACCCCCTCAGTAACCCGTGCCTGCTGCTTATGTAAGGGAAGTCAGGTCATTTTAGATGGATGTTACCAGAAGTGTGCTCGAATTACAAGGAGGGAGACTTGCGCAGATGATTCATTCTGCTTTTGCCCCCATTTGAATAGTAGTTGCTTCTACTTTCTGAAATATGTTTGTGGCTTTCCTCCTTCAGATTCTTGTTTAATCATTGCATATGTCTTCTTGTCATAAACTGAATTTATTTCAACATAAGTTAATTTGAAAATAGCATCAGAAGCAAAGTTAGGTACAGTGTAAATCAAAGTCAGGGAAAGCGTCATAATACGCAGGGTTCAAGCGATTATATTTGATACATACATCTCTGAAGCTTTTGAAAATGCCAGGCAAAATTAAAGCATCTGCTTTCACAGAAATCGTGATGTTGTTTCGCGGTTTACTCTTAGAATGTGTCCATATCATTTTTTTTAATTTTTTTTTATGGTCTTCATGACTAATGTTATCCTCGTTCAATTGACTAAACATTGACTAAAACATATCTGTGAGAGTACCAGCGCAAGGGTATCAACAATTGCTTCGCCTACGCGTCGTCGAATTCTCATCCCAATTGATGAGCGAATGCTCCTCGTCTGTCAACTTACAAACCTGTGCCTATACATCTCTCATATCAACTCATCTGCAAATCCCCTGTGTCTGTCAGCTCACAAACCTGGCCAATACCAAAACAAGCATCTGCTCACATCTTATATGCCCTGACCAATGCCAAGCTGTCCGCTAAAAAGCAACTAATTTCCCTGAGCGAAATCTGTGCTGCACGAAACCTACTAAGACGGGATTTCTTTGCATACTTTTCTAGGAATTTAGATCCAATGTCCACATGCTGAACTATCCACTGCATTTACCGCACACAATTCGAAAATCATAATAAGGTGCACAACCAAACAGGAATGACTGAAAGCAGAGGCTTTTCGGCGCTTGTTTGCACTTTCGAATCTAACATTCAAGCTTCCCTGGAATCTTGAATCCAGCATGGGGGCCCCAAAGCGCTTGAAAGCGCTTGAAAGCGCTTTAAAGCACTTTTGGATCTAAAATTTAGGATTCAAGCTTTTCAGGACCTGAGATCTTGAATCTTGAATCCAGTATGGGGCCCGCAAATCGCTTTCAAGCGCAAACATCCAGGTAGCTTTTGGATTCAATATTCAAGAACAAGAGTCCTGGGATAAGGGCCATAAATCTTGCATCCACGAGAATGAAAACGCTTTAAAGCGCTTTAAAGCGTTTTAGGGGCCTCAGACTGGACTTAAGATTCCAGATCTAGAGTCCTGGGAATCTTGAATTTTGAATCTTGAACCCAAAAGTGCTTTGAAGCGCTTTGAAGCGTTTTAGGTGGATAGAGGTGCAGTCAAATGTGCAGATATAGTTAGATGGTCAATTGGGTCCAAAACGGGGTGCCTGAAAAGGGGGGGAGGAATCGCCCAAAAGTAGTGTAAGTACGGTGAAATTCTCTTGCCTCCGGTGTGTGTGTGTGTTAAACTCAGAGCTACTGTAAACCTGTCTGCCTAAAGTGATGAACCTGTGTGTGAGTGAAGCGCTGTTGTTTTCCTCAGGGCAGTGATGTAATTTCAGCTACTGATGTACTAAGGCTCAAGGCCTTGATGGTGCATCATCCATGATGTATAGTGAATGCATGTATCTTAACACTCCTCCTCAGGACAATGCTGTAAACATTCTCCTGAAATGTTCAAAACGGATGTAGCCATTGTA